GACCTTCATCAAGGAATTCTGCCACTAGTGTCTACCTTTTTTCTTTTATCTTTGAGGTATTACGCCATATAAATTAGTATCGTCAGATATAGTTTTAAATTATTATTGTTGGGAGTAATACTACCTGAAGGTCCCAAAACAATAAAAATGAAGTTTCATATACAATGTTGGGAGGAATACTATACAAAGGATCCAAACCAATAAAAATGAAGTTCATTACACAATGAACTTCTTGACCTTCATATCGGTCTGTGAACAACATTTTTTCATAAAATCAAGATATGGTTGTATAAAACCTATATTATAGGACTTCTCAAAACATATGGCTCTATAATAGTATACCCTTTGGACAAGTCCTATAAATATGAATTCATCCCTCACCAAGAACAAAAGTAAGGAAGTGGTTGTAAAGATGAAAATGATGGTATGAGCATCATGAGAGGGATTGTGCCTTTCAATCCAGTCAGCATCAATCATCTCTTCATGGATTCGACCACTGAATATAGCGTGATTATGTCAAGAGGACCATAGGCAACTTTCTCCTTTCACGACTCCAGTTGCAGAGTTTCCCCTGCAATGAAGGTGCATATCTTGCGGAAATCCAGCAAAAGTGAGAAAAAACGTGTATAATCTCCTTAAATTCAGCTCAAAATTTGGATGTTACTATATTATTGGATACAATCAGCCATGAAGAATTTTATGATAATTTGTTTTCTTCTCTCTGTTCACAATAATGTGTGGTTTCAAATTTTTCCCCTTTTTTTTCATTATTATAATAAGGTTTTTGGTTGGTTAGGGGTTAGTCAGGGTTAGAAAATAAGGTTAGATGTGGTATAAGGTATGTAGACTTGAAGCAAAAGCGCAAAGTCAAGCGAAGGAAAAGCAAAGCTGCACCTGTTCGGAACTCAAACACCGTTTATAGGCAGAGAACGTGGTAAGAAGATAGACTTTCGGGCAGTTAACCCTGATGAACCTGTCATTCTGGGCTCCTGCTTCTTGTTGAATAGGAACCAAACAGAGGCAAGACAAGCTGCAAACGGCACCAATCAGATATCCCACTGTCGTCAATATCTCCTTTGCGTCTTTTGGCAACTCTCCAGACATGCAAGGCCCAAATTTCCGTTTCCGATCCCTGCTGTACATAATGGCATTCCAGATCGCGAATGCAATACGAGAAGAGAAAAGAAAAATAATGGGGTACTTGCACTTGTACAGTCGTCTTTACGAACCCAAAATGGCTGGCGGTGGATAAATTCGGCAATAGAGCCACGGCACATGGCTCTTGAACTTGTAATCTCCGGATACGCGGAACCAGAGCCCTAGTTTACGGCAATAGTAGAGATGCATGGAGACAGCCTACTTGTAGCTACAGACCCATTCTCATCTTCTGGAGGCGACAATTTGACAGCTTGATGCAGATTTGCGATGACAGACGGGTGCAGTGGTGCATTTTGACAGTCGGTGGTCGTGGGTTTGACAGATGATTGCATTTTGACAGCTGATTGCGGGCGGGGTGCGATCTGTATCGCCAGCTGGGGTTTGGGGGCCTTAGTGGCTATCTGATCCTCGGCTGCGTCGTCGCGGGTTGCTTTCAAACACCGTCTGGACCGCCAGATACGAGCTGATGATCCACTTTGCGCGGTTTCAAAAACCGACCGCCGCCAGCGCCATCCATCTCCGCTGAATCCCTGCGTGCTTTGGTGGGATTGTCTCCACACAAGCTTTTCGCTTAACACTGGACCGTACTGCCCAGCTGCACAGGCGTACCTTATTACGAGCTCCCCCGCTCTGGGTGTCAACGCTCTGAAATATTATGCTGTGGCCTGGGTCTGGAGGGACGCTGGCTGAAGGGGGGAGGGGACCGCGACGAGATGTTGGAGACCGCGTCGGTCGTATTTGCGTTCAGAGACACTCGAGCGGGCTTTTGCGCGAGTTTTTGGTTGCTGCATCCCAAAATCCAAAGCAACTTTTTTTTATATATTTTTTATGTTTTTTTCCCACACTTTGGCGGATTTCGGGCCGTTAGCCAACAATGAACGAACCATGGTCCTTTGACTTCCCCACCATTTTAGTGCGTTAGATAGGCTAATGGTGCTTTCGGATGGCCAATTAATCGAGTGACCAGGCCAACCAACTGCAGATACGAGTTGCTCGCATACGTTGCTCGTCAGGTCACCTCTGTCTCAGAGTCGATGTTCCCTGTTCCGCGGTGTTCCCTATCCCTCGGTGTATCCTGTCCCTCTCACTCCCCTTCCACTCCCCTCCCCACGGTGATGGAGATCAACACATGTGCCCGTTCTTTCTCCCCAAACTTCCTCTCTCAGAACAATAGACCTTGAGTCTGATCAGTAGGCCCGATAAGTGGCATAGAGTTTAATATCAAGTGTCGAAGAGTTCCTCCACGGTCTGTTTGGCCAGAGCACCCGCGTAATAGGGTTGTAGCCGTCTGGCGACCGGCCTATGACCGCTCACGTGATGTGGCGTGTTATGCGTGCGGCTTTGCTTGCAACATGCCACTGGCGCCTTTACGGCCTTGAGGCTTTAGCGGAGTTAATGTGGCCAGAGGGTATTCCAGAAACATGACAAGCTCCGGCCACGGACCAGCGGACTAACAGAGCCACAGGGACAACAGGGGCCGACAGAATGATGATCTGTTTCTTGCGGTCCCCTCCAAATCTAATTGCCTGTCTCTATCTACAAATACACACTTGCTATAGCAAGGCTGCCGATACTGTGAAATGTCAAAATGTCAAATCGTATGTCTATTGCTCCTCCGCATACACCTTGTGTCTATGGTCGCTTAGCAATGAATGGGGGTCCGTGCGAGTTTTTTTCTTGTTTTCTTGTTTTCTTTTTCGTCGGGGGTTTTCGTCGGAGTTTTTCGTGGGTGTTTTCTATTTATTGTCGGTGGAAGTTTTCTTTTTTTTGTTTTTATTTTTTGCGGTTTTCCTTTCATTTTTCTTTTTCCATATGCAGATTCGCAGACACTAACATTGCCGTCCGTTAGCCGAGCCCATCCAGTGTGCCTTCAGGCCTTGGGACAGGACAAAAAAACCCCATGCTGAGAGGTCTCTGGGGTTTTCTTTGTTTTTTTTTTTTTTCTTTTAATTTTTGTGCTTTTTTAATTTTCTGATTATTGTTTTCTGAATTTATATTTTGCAATTTATGTTTCAAACAGAAACAGATTCCAAAAATAGACTTTCCCTTAGCGCGATCAGAAGCACTATAATATCGACTAATGGCGCTAGCTACTTCCCGCGTTGCCCTAAGTGGCCCTGGGGACAGAAGCTTTGGGCCCTTTTTGCGTCCTTATTGGTCGTCTTTTCTTGCGGGTCCACTTTCAAGCTCCGTCCACCTACACTCCAACCACGTTGGTAACTCCAAGAGCTTCTCCTGGACTCGTTATTGTAGCCCCAAGCAGAGAGATTATATAGGCTAGGGGCGCATGGTCCACGGGATAAGCTCGTTGAGCACCAGAATCATGTCTAAGGAGAGAGCAGACCGTGGCAAATGGACAAAATGGGTCGTGGACGGCTAGTCGGACTCTGCACGATATGCAAGATCTCCGTGATTGTTCCGGTGGAGTAGGTGCGAGGCGGTGTTGGTACAGTTGTGGGCTCAATGTGCAGTCACATGCATGGTGCGGTGGTGCACCCGACCAGTCAATGCGGTGGTGCATAGACGCATGTACATGCCGTCATCAGCCTGACAACCCAGCAACAATGACGGACGGGCCCAAACGTGCATCTACTGTAATACAAGTAAGGCTGCCAACTGTGATGCTAAACCACTTATCATTTCATTTGTCCAACCTACAGTATTGTACATACTTGTCTGGCGAGCTTTTGTTTGGGCGCTGCTTGCACTTTCTGTTCTCCATCAAGAGTCTGACTTCGACGTCCGCTCGAGTCGTCCCGGTCCATTTGGGCGAGCTTTTACCTGGACCTCAGTCCCATTTGGTAGAGCGACGGTATTACTTGATGACGAACCAATTAATAACAGTCGCTTCGGGCTGCATCCAAAAACGATAGTCATAGCAAACATAGACTATAACACAACAACACCGGTCATCAGGGAAATGAAACGGGCGGTGGAAGGTCGGCCCGATTGCTCGTCTCCAGCATGAATATATGCCGGTGGCACTTGTTTACAGCATTTGTCACAAACAAAAGAAAGACAGAGTCTCGCTTAAGCGACCGGAGTGCCGCTTACCCTACATTTGAGCCCACATCTAAGATCTCCCTTATCATAGATATTGTCTTCAATCTCTGACGCTTCTGGGTTTGTAGCCGAGTGTTGTGGGGCCACCAAGACTTGTAGGGTCGGAATTGTAGCGGCCGGGAGTTGTCCGAATCAGACCTTTCGAAGTATTGTCAGCCGCTCTCACCGCTGGACAGTTGCTTCGGTAGCTTCGTGTCTCTGGCTTGAACCTTGGATTGAGACACCTCTCGTCTTTTATCCACTTGTAGTCGCACAGTTGCTGCAATTTCGGAGTAAGAAGCGAGCTGACCGCAAGAGATGCTCAATACAACGAGACCATGATTCAGAGTCTACTGAAAAGAGCAAGTTCTACAAAAGACGGGCAAAGATGCACCAGTTTTACGAGCAATAGGCTTAGAGATACTTGTACATACTTGTACTTACCCACAAGTCAATAAGTCCAAGTGCTTCTGAAGGCTCGTCCAGTCGGACATTTGACGTGCAACCTCCAGCTGTCTGCAACTGGCGAAAAACAATACAAACAACATTCAACACAAGGAAGAGCTTGGCTCACAGACTATAATTGAAACCTCATCGACTTTAGACCTCTTAAGTTCCCACCTCAAGCTTGGATCGTCTAGAACCTGCACCTGAGTGGCGTGGGGATACAGGGTCGCTAAGAAGGTGTAAGTCAACCTCGACAAACCCAATATAGTATGACCAATGCTGACCATACATCTCGGAAGGTCTATAGCACGCCGACAGCTCTGTCGTTTCTTTCTCCACCTGTGGTATTAATGCTATTTGGAATCGGTCTTCTTTTTGAGCATGGCATCCTGCTCATCCACCTTGTTGGTCAGCTTCTCCACCAGCTCAGTCAGAGTATCAATCTTGTTGATGAGAGGCTTGAGCTCCCATCGCACTCCAACCTGCTCCGTCTCAACCTGGTACGGATTGAGCACCTTGAGCGACTTGAGCCACTCCTTCTCGGACGAGAAGCCCTCAATCTTAAAGTCGGGGGTGTCCGCCAGCTCGTTGACCACCTGGGCTCGAGAGGCAATGGCATCCTCGTCGCCATCGTCGTAGCCGTCGCTAAGATCCCATTGACAATCGTCTTCATTGGCATCGTCTGGAGCATGTCGAAGACGGTTGTAGGCAACTCGACGGGCCATCTTGGACTCATGAACACCAATTCCAATCAACACAGGGAAGTAGATGACATACATGATGCTGTCACATAGTGATTGGTACGACTCTCGCGACAGAACCAGCGACAGAGGAGTGACAATGACCTCAATGATGTTAAGGGGAGGAACAAAGACGTTCTCGTCGGGAGCTCGAATGAACCACAAGGTCTTCTTGGCAGTCAGAGCCAGGAACTCGTCACTTCCGTTATCACAAACATGCTGGTACGCCGTGTTGAAGAGCGCAATCAGAATGTTCAGCAGAAGAGTGGAAATGACAAAGGTGCAAATGTAGTAGAGAACCATGGCATAGGGAGGCGCAAAGTTCTCAAAGGAGTCAAAAACGGGAGATGCAAGTACCGTCTGGATGAGGACATTGACCACCATGTTGATGGAGTCGGCTCGTCCGTCAGAGAGATCCAGACCCAGGAAAGCCTGCAGGAAACCCGCCAGCACAATGGCCAACAGCACGAAGAAGACAATGGACTCCTTCATAAGTTCCTCCAGCACGACAAGCATGATTCCAAAGAACCGTTTAGTGTCCAGAAAGAGCAGCAGCCGCGACCAGACAAACGGAGCACAGCAGGCCAGCAGTCGGTAGGACGTTCGGTTGTTGGACACAAAGGGGATAATGTCGATATCACGTGACAGGGCTCGAGACAGCAGCTGGTTGGCCACGAGCAAGGGTTCCTCTTTCCCGCCAAATATTTTGATCAGGAAAGACACAGACACAATGAAGTACAGAGAGTTGTTGAACACGTTCCAGAAAGACAGGTAGCGCAGTCCGACGTGGAACAGCTTAGTGGCCTCGTCCAGAATGAAAGACAGGGTCATGGTGTAGAACACCACTTCTCCTGTTCTCCATCGTCTCAGGGGTCGTTCTCCCCCGTCATTTAGCGCCCAGGTGTATGCCACAACATAAAGGAGTGACACAATCAGCTGCAGCAGATTCTGGTACTCGGGGGTTTTGACCCGCTCGGGGTTGAAATGGGTCCAGAACTTGGGACAGTCCGTGTGGTTGTAGAGGATGTACTCGTTGGGATTTTCTCCACTCTGGATGATCCAACCTCGCCACATCCACTTGATGCATCTCTGGAATCCGCTGCAGGAGATGACAATGGTCGAGTGTTGGTCAATAGCCATCTCAAGGGCGTTGAACGGGGTCGACACGATTCCGTTGAGGTTGATGGTGTATCGTTTGGCCAACATGACCAGAAACAGGTACCGTTCGTCGGTGCATCCGTCGATGATCTTGACCGCCAGTCTCTGGGCACACTCGGCTCTCTGGCCGTACAGAGTCGAATCGTACAGCTCGTCGTCGGCCAGATCATTGTACCATCGGGTAACTGTCAGCAGGGCAAACACCACGCAGCCCTGGAACTTGCGTTTGGACTGTTCGGTCGTGCCTCCGCACGCCTCGAAGCACTTGCGTACAAGCACATTGGTCACGATGGGCGAGTCGGCGGCGTCCACGTACTTTTGTTCAATGGCCACTGGCACTGCACAGTCGACAATGGCCTTGAGACGAATGGCGATCTTGAGTGTCTGAGACGCATTGGGCGGCTCCAAAATGATGGACCGAGACACGGGAAGAGACATGTCGATCTTCGGGGGAGCACAAAACGAGTCGGGCGAGGTGTTGGAGACGTACAACCTCCCTGGACGGATTTGTACCCCGTTTAAGGGAGGTTTATTGTTGATAGAGTTGAAGGCTGTGCAACGCCCGTCTCGTGTCAGGGCAGCTGTATGGGGCGTTTGAAGAGTGTTGAGAGGCAAATTAGGACATTACACGTGTTATTTTCGTGTTGGAAACTGATTTAGCTCATAATCTCTCTGTTTTGGTGATCCTGATGCCGTATCTCTGAGCTGTCTTATCAGTCTCCAACTGGTGGTCTCAACTAAACTCAAGCCTGCACAAGGTGCAGAAAACGTGCATCTAAAGTGGAGACAATAGCGGAGTGGAGATTAGCGAGTAGTTAGTCTTGGGGATCTGTTTGTTTGTTTTTTTTTTGGTTTTTTTTGTTTTGTTTTGGATGATATGGCGAATAGGTAATGTTCGGAGAGATTCGTTTTAGAACCTGGTATTTTTTGTGGTATTTTTTCTTTTCTTTTTCCCTGGTTTTTTTGTGGTTTTTTTGAACTTTTTAAGCCCCCACGATTTATTCTCGTTATTAATTACGATGCATAAGCTTCAGTTAATCTTGAGGGGGATCCATTTATACGTTTACTTGTAGTTCATGTTGCGATTTTCAAATCATCTAGAAATGAATGCAGTCATACAATACCTTTTTTCTACCGCCAACTGTCACAACCAAAGAAGTCCTACCATTTCAAATGGATTTGTGATTTTCTGGGGTTTGTTGTGGAACGTATGTACATACTGGATTATAACGAGTATGTCCATGACCGCCTGCCACAGCCTGTACACAGATGGGCAAGTCCAGAGCAGTGAGCAATCTAATCAGATGATCCGATGATGGCACATCTGTCATCCCCGGCGATCCTTATTGACCCTTGACGGCCATATTTGTTTCAGAGTCCAGACTTACAGAAGGCTCTGGCAAGTGACTGGCACGTATAACAAGACAGCCGAGTGCATCTGTCACCGTAACAGGAAAGTATAGACCCCGATTGACAGATGAATCCCGGTAAGCCGCCCGGGGATACTACATTTTCGACTTTGACAGGTTGCAGCGCGTCCGCCCTACAGTATAGTGGGATATGACAGAGTATCAAATCAAGCGCGAGGAGGGACAGTTAGGAGTATTACAAGCGGACAAGGCGAGTCAGTTCATTTTGTCTGTCTACAAGTCGACATGTTTCAGATTACCAATTTGAAAAAATGGGTTTTTGGAGTGATCTACGAGGCACAGTCTTCAACGAGGCACAGTCTTCTACAAGGCACAGCGTTCTACGAGTCACAGCTTTCTACACTCTCAACCTCACTGCTACTGTACAAGTACGATAATACCCAAAGGTGATCGCCGACTCTGATACTGTACTAATTTATGTACTGTTCTGTAAAAAATCTCAATGGCAACAGTCGTCTCAAAACCCCTGGCCATTTCAACATCGGCATGAGCTCACAGTGCTGTCACAGATATACCACATGGTAGAGCTGTAACTTTGTAGAGAATGTCGATGTGGGAACAAGACATCTCTACCATTAGAGAGATTAATAACACGGGGTCCCACTTCTACAATTTGTCTCACTCTTTATACAATCTCAATACGCCCGAACCTATACCGATTGGATACTGGTAAAGTACATACATTCAATAACTACCGTCATAACACTACTTCAACCACCATACAGACTTCTTTGGTTGCCTCGTTTGTAAACATCTTCACCTAAATAGACCACCAGCACCTCTGCTTGCACTCACCCTAAGCCACTACCCCACACTAACTCTGAACGTGACCGTCCCCTCAGCTCCGTGGCCATCTAAAGATCCCGCGTTAGCCGTTCCCCAGAGACAAAATAAACCTGTTTAACTAACAATACTACAATAGGGGCAAAAAAAGGGGCTCGGTATGCTGGGCATCACGTGATTAGATCAACCCTCCACCCCCGCCAAAAGGTTTGTGCTGCTCGTGACCATAACCTCATTCGGTTATTTCCACCTTATCATGCATAATCAGAACCTAAACTCCTCTTCCCCACAACCACACAACGCCATGAACGTCCCTCCAGAGGTGCTCGAGATGATCCTGGCGGGCCAGGATGAACTCACTCTGGTGGCCCTCGCCCAGACCAGCCGCTACATGTACCAGGTGGTAGCTCCCAAGCTCTGGGGGGTCATGATGCCCTCTCTGAGCTACAACCACCGTTTTGTGTTGTTTGAGCGGGAAGCACACACAAAACTGGCCATGTTCCACACGCAAAAGGGACCCAACAACTTCCGCGACAAGCTCAACCGACAGATGCGATCAAGAGACACGGTTCACCCCAACGGGCTCGTGCACAATCTCGTTCTGACGACCCCCAACTTTGACCAAAAGTTTCTCGACCGCGAAAAGTATCCCAACGTGCGCAATGTCGAGCTGGTGGTCAAGGGCTGTGGCTCCATGGAGGTGGTGCGGTCTCTGCGGATCATGGACTTGTACATGCGGGAGAACCCGGGGGTCAAGGTCGCCATAGACGCATGGTGTCACGTACCAATCTCTGTGGAACACATTGTTCAAAGAGTCTTCTCTCTGGACATTTACGAGTTCCCCGAGGACCAAGTCTGTGAACAGCTCAAGCTCAAGCAGCTCCGACTCACCAATAGCGATTCCACCAAGCCCTCCTTGCAATACCTGAGCAGACTTCAGGGTCTGGAGTTTCTGGAAGTTCCTGGTATTGCTGTTTCTCGTGTGTGGTTAGATGACGAAACGGACGATAACACTCCTACTCACGTGGCTCTACACTTCCCCAACCTCACTCATCTTCGAATCAAGTGCATTCGGACCATCCCAGTCGCCTTTCTCAACTCCATTGTTGCTCCTCGACTCACTACTCTCGAGTTGTACTACCATTTCACACATACGACTTCTGGCACCAAAGAAGAAACCCGGTTGATTTCCCAGATTCTTCCCGTTGCCTCTGTTACTCATCTTCGGCTTGCTGACATCTCCGAGCCCTCGGACCTCGCGATTGTGCGACGGTACCCCCAGTGTCGTATGGTTACGATAGTGGGCAAGCCCAAGTGGTCCGTGGCATCGATTGCCTTCAATCTGATGCACGAGTACCTGTTGGATCGGCTCCTGTGGGAGCGCGTGGAGGGCTCCGTGCTTCAGACAACTACGTTTGAAGCTCAACAGATAGAGGTCAACAAGAGTCTGCATGTGTAGCTGGAGCAACGGGTGGTTTTTTGTCTGAGACAAGGACGAGAGTGATCTGGGAGTTGGGCGTGATGACCCTGACCCTGCGTACCATTGTCACATGAGTGTCTCAGCTCGTACCTTTAGCAATGTGTGTCTTGCATATGTCTCATGTTCATGTCTGTCTCATCATGTCAATTCTCACAATCTCAACCTACATTTTCACGATCCCAGGCTTCTTGAAGTGCCTACATGTGTCTACGAGGTGAAAGGCTATGGTGATGACGAGTCGAAGCTTCTGTTGGTGCTATTCCCGATGGTATCATCGAAGAGTTCAGAAGTTGCTACTCGTATGTACTGTACGATGCATACTGTCGGAGGTGGGTCTCCGACCTGTACGTGCAGTGCATATCATACGGCTACAGTTTCCACACGGCAACAGACGGCATTAATTGAGTTGAAACGCAGTATGGCCACTCTCACTATGGTTGCTATTTGTTGTGATACGTTATTGTCATGTTCTGCTGCTTTCAGCCACATCCATCCACCAGCGAGAAGCACATGTGGCTTGGGCAGGTGCTCTAATGTATGGCTCTAACACGTCCGCAAGTCTTCTTCAATCCTTGAGACTGTCATATGGTTTAATATGAGTCTTCTGGCATTGCACCGCCACAACGGCTTGGCTTGGCGCTCTTCCGGATGTGGGTCTCGGGTTATTTCTGTACTTAACTCCGCATTGTGGCGTGGGGGGGTCAGCCACAAGCGGGTCCTCAAGACAACTTTAATGTGTAAATGGGTGGGAAAAAAAGAATAGATATTAATACCAACATGCGATAAGCGCAACTAATATCGGATCGTTGTTTATCGACCTTTCGGACTTTTGATTGGTTCATTTTCTTGTTATGTTCTTCCTCTATTTGTGTAGTACAATCGCTTAGACACTCTTTCGGCTATCAGCCCGGGCTGCCGACAGTGCATTAATTTTTTTAATTTAATTTTTTTAAAATTTTAATTTTACTGAATATGCGAAAATGCACATTGAGAGCTGAGGGCGGTGGAGAAAGTAATGAGGGGAAGTTGGTTGGGGTAGTTTTTAGTTGTGACCTTAGTTGGGCGGCGATGGGCGGTGGTTTATTTTTTCTTCGGTCACGTGACTAGTTTGATTTTATTCGATCTATTGGGCTTTTGATTGGCTGTGTCTAGAGCATACTGGAGCTGCCCTGTTGTCAAGCCCCACCGTTACGTGTGGCTCGGGTTTTTTTAAAATTTTCGAATCAGACTTTTTTTGTGCGCACAGTTAGAGTTGGCAGAGATGAGTGGCTAGAGAGAGCCACTTCGATACGAGTGAAGGTGGCGTTTTGTGGCGGGTTGCAAACTGCGATGATGAGGGTCAGAGGGGGTTTGTTAGTATCAAAATGATGAGAAAAATTTCCAGAGACGATTAATATGTTTTTTGTTGGCACTGAACATCCGATTTATCACTCTACCGCCTGTCGTCCGTATCCCTCCCTACATCCGGCAAGGTTGGTCCAAGGTTTAGCAATGTGGTGGCTAACCCCCACTCGCCACAAGTCCGTTGCCCCCTTGGGCAAAACCCTAGTCCACATCCGCTCTGATTGCGTCTAATTAGCAAAGTATTAAAGTGCAGCCACCGCCACAGTTTTAAACAACACCTACCATCGATTTCGAGCAGCGATAAACATGACCACACCTCAACCACGAGCAATGACCGACCTCGAAATGGCTCCTGCTCCAACAACGTCGTCCCAGGAGATCCAGGGAAAGGGCTCCAACCACATCGCATCGTCGCCAGACGCAACCAACGACAAGAGCCGGCCAGAAATGTCCTATCTGATGCTGCGTATCAAGTACTTTAGCCCCGCGTGGTTTGCGTCGGTCATGGGCGTGGGCGTGTCCGGAGGCATTCTGTACACGTATCCATTCCACGCGCGATGGCTGGAGATTCTGGGCGAGGTCATCTGGGCCATTTCTTTGGGCATGCTGGGAGTCTTCTCCGTCCTGTTTTGCGCCCGGTTTGTGCTCTTCCCCAAGCAGTTTATGAAAATGCTCAAACACCCCGGCCAATCGACCTTTCTGGGCTGCATCCCCATGGCCTTCTGCACCACCATCAACATGATCCACAACATCTGGGGTCAGGACGGATGGCTTGCATGCTACATTCTCTGGTGGTTCAACGTGGTCATGTCTCTGGCCACTTGCTGGGGAGTCACCGTGTCCATGTTCTACCTCCACAAACGAACCGCCACCATGCTCAACGCCACCATGATTCTTCCCATCGTGTCTGTGGTCGTCTGTGCCGCTACAGGTACCCTCTTCTGGGATAACGTCCCCCACCACCTCCAGGGCCTCCAGCTCGTCGTCTGCATCATGCTCTGGGCCAACGGTCAGTGTCTCGCCTTTGGGTTTGTCACCGTGTACCTCTGGCGTCTATTGTCCATCGGCATGGTCCCCCCGGCTCTTGTCATCTCCAACTTTTTGCCCGTGGGCCCTCTGGGCCAAGGCTCATTCGGTATTCTGCTCATGTCCAGTGCCGCCCAAAAGTACCTGCTCAGACAGTTCCCCAACGACGCTCTGGATGCAGAGGTGATGGGCCAGCTGACCAACACCGCTAGCCGGGTAGTTTTCACGCAGTTCTACGAGTTCCTCGGCATCTTCATCGCCCTCTTTCTCCAGGGCTTTGCCTTCTTCTGGCTCTTTGTGGCCTTCACGTGCTTGGCCTACACTCCTCCCAAGCAGTTTGCCATTGGTTGGTGGGGCCTGACTTTCCCGCTGGGCACCTTTGCCCTGGGAACCGCCCGAATGGGCGTCGAGCTGGATTCTCTTGCATTCAGAATCATTAGCGGCATTTCGGGCGTCATGGTCTGTCTCTTTACGCTGATTTGTGTTCTCGGCTCCATCCGTGACGGCATTATTGGCAACAAAATCTTCCTGGCCTCCCAGGACGAAACTGATCCTTTGGAGCAGTAACTGTCATAGATCACGTGTCGCATTATTTATTTATCATAGACAACTACATCTAATCATCCAAACTCCGAATAACTTGTACATGCACTGTAGGCGACATCTCATAATCTATCATAATGGTGGTATTAATGTCTATGTGTATAAATATCTAATTAATGAATGCAAGTTAATTCTTGGATCTGTTTTTCCACTGAAAGTAAAGATACTGGACGCCGACAAAGCAGTCCAGAGATGTCTGGATGACTGAGCACATGATGAACTGCGACGAGATCTCTGCTTTTCCAGAAAGGAAGTACGCCAGCTTGGCCAAGTCTCCTCCTAGCCATGATACCAGCAGCGACAGTCGGAACCCATCGACACTCTGTCGCTGGTGGTTTTTGATGATTTGGGGTAGAGGCAGAACTGCCTCGATCAGCAGCCCAATGGCTCCAATGGAATCCACGTAGATGGGGTAGGAGCCAAACAGAAACTGCAAAATGACTAGCCACACGGAAAACTTGACAAGGAAGGACCAGTACAGGTCGTCGTTGCTCCAGTTCCAGAAGTTGAACGGTCTCGAGGACGACGTGTGCAGGTCAGGGTACAGAGACTTGCCTCTGGACTTGAACGCTGAGGAAACGGATCGAGCAAACTGCTGTCTGTGCTCCGACCGGTAGGTTTCCGGCGAGATGGCGTGCTTCACGGCTGCGTACGTGGCCTTCAGGGGTCCCAGGAGTCCCAGAAACTCCAGCACTCGTTCGGTGTCTGATCCCGGAGGAGTGGTCTTTTCAGCTGAGGCAGACGCGGCGGTGCTCATGTTTCCGAGCTCAATGTCGCGTTCATCGGCTCGAGGTCGGTACTGCAGAGCGTACTTGAGCAGAAACAGGTGCATGATGATCATGACGATTGACTGGACCAGTAGAGAGAGCTCAAACGGTCGTCCGAACCAGAACATGACACGTAGAATCGACGACACCAGCATGATGCCACAGACGTCAATACTGAAGCCCGCCGACGACTTTTTGCGTCGAATCGCCACCAGTGTGTCTCCATAGGATGTCACCGGAGAGGTCACCAGCGTCAGACCCATGAAGTTGCTGATCGTGATGTAGGAGAGCAGAAAGCCCGGCCAGCCCATGTCCTCGGTCGCCACCATGGCTGCAACGGCGCCCAGAGCGCCCACCGAGTCGCCGATTTTCTCGCCTAGCTGTTCTGCGGTTTCCGACATCTGTTGTGTTGTTTTGTTTGGGTGTTGACTTTTCGACACAACATCTTCGGAAATAACTCAACCTAAGAAGGTTCGCGCAGTGCGTGAACAAGGTGGGACGGGATATTTATTTCGAGGGAAATTGGTTGAATTATTGGATTAATTCGGGAAAAATGAGAAAAAAGTTGATTAATAATAGAGAGAGGAAGGAGAGATATTATACGTGTTTTTCGAGCTAGAATTACGAAAAAGGAGTGATATGGTGTAGTGTCTTAAGTAAAAGTTCAAATATCCAGTGTAGCATCTCTAATGAATTGAAGGAGTCCTTTGCCAATGACTAAAACTAGATAATGGGGGGAAATGAGCCGAGCTGTTCTTTCTTTGAGTATCTCAGCTATGCTTGAATTGGAAAACTGTTTTCATGTGTTGTCTTAAGAGTTATCAATGGTAGTCATAGGAGTCATACTATTCTGTTGAATGTACACTGTACTCGTGGATTGTGCTACAAATTTGCAGCAGATAGTCCAGCCTGACAATTGATTCTGTCAGTACTTTTACTACCTTCAATTAAAAACCCTTTTCAGAGTGGCTCATCCAGTACATACACCTTCAATTCTTTACCATGGCTACTGTGCATTGGCTGTCTCTCTCCCGCTTCTTGTGTCCAGAGACACCATCAATGTTCAGATCTCAGATCCAAGTCTTGCATGACTCGATCTCTTACCTCTTGTCCTACCCTCATCCAGTTGTAACCCACCATGATATAAATATATTACAAGTTATTTGTCCTTGTCGGCCTTGGCCAACTTGGCTCGTTCGGCGGCCTTTCGTCCCTCAAAAGAGTAGAGTCCAGCACCTATGAACAGCAGCACGGTTCCCAGAATGGTTAGACTGGACAGCGAGTTGCCAAAGAGCACCACCGAAAGCAGCAGAGACACAAACTTGCGCACGTTGAGCACAATACCAACCGTGAGAGCCGAGGTGGCTCCGCTCAGTTTGTTGACTCCTCGGATGCACAGATACTGCGTCGTCGCATTTAGCATGAGCCACATGAAGGCTCTGGAGACATGCAAGTCGTAGCCCAGAGTCTCAAAGTGGAGTCTTGGATGAGCTCCCCATACACTGCCAAATTGACGAATGATATCGCTTGCCAATGGAGCAAACAGTGGCAGAGACAAGAAATGGGTGTAGAACAAGGATTCACGCCAGTTGCCTCCATATTTCGAGTATGTCACTTCGGAAAACAGACCCTGGAACGAAGACAGAATAGCAGCGACCAGAAGGAGCACAATTCCAAGCACAAACTGCGTCGTGGTAGCCTTCTGCTTTGAGTCTTTATTAGGTGCCTGCGAGAAGGTGGCGAGAATGACTCCGACCGTCAGTATTGCTACAGACAATACTTGTCCTCTGGTGTACTTCTTTCCCTTGATGACCCCCAGTAACATGGTTATAACTGTTCCTCCAGACCTGAAAATGATGTGCAAGGGCACCGAAATGTGCAGCTTCCACACGTAGTTGTTGATAACCGAAACGAGGAAAAACAACAGCACAGATACCGTCCATCGCGAGTAAGGAGCCTTTGAGGGCTTGAGGAAAAAGGGCTGTGAAAAGTCCACAAAGTGAAACAGACCCTCAATCGACACAAACAGAAACTGAACAAACGTGATCAGTGACCCCGAATCGGGAATGTCCTTGACAATAGCCTCCAAAGTGAACACGTTGGAACAACATCCACCGAAAATCAAAGTTGCAATTCCAACCCATTCCATCGCACCTATCGAAACCGAGGCGGCGACCATCGCGGTTGTGTCACGTGACTCCTTGTGCACTTCTGTCCCGCAATTTGCGTCTGTGGTCCCTCCTCTTTGGGTCACTTGCCTCTTATGATCCATGGTTGATTTGATAAAGTGCCACACAGGTGCTGCATGTCTGAACGTAGATTATGTATGTCGGGTTAGGGTACGCCCTTTGTTAGCGTCGTGGCTAGTGAAAACGTGTCAATCACGTGATGAGGGTTAGTCGCACGTGTTTAGAAAAGGCAAAGAAGGGGTAGAAAGGATTTATGGTCTGACGGGGGCTGCATGTTAGTCATTTGTGGTGGTGTTGATTTTTTGCCAATTAATTCTGATTAACGCCAAAAAGATTACTAATTCCGGATAAATTGGGAAAAACCGGGGACAAAAAGGGAAAAAAGGGAAAAAAGGGAAAAAAGCGAGAAACGGCGACAAGCATTGGTTCAACATATACAGCTTTCAGATTCACAATTTTCGAAATCTCGGCATTATTCGTTTTTATTCTGTGAGACAAAAATCAGAAGCCTTTAATCGAAGCAAAAAAAAGATTGCAGCACCCAGGATTCTCGTATGGTCTCCCACTACAATACTAACTAGGCTCTCTGGTGCTTGACTATGGCTGATCGGACGGGAAGCCGTATTTTCACCAGGATATGGCCGCAACCATTGACACTAAAATTCATTGGACCTACATATACGGCCATATAAGTCACGTGCTGCTAAATTTTGGAGGTGTTTTCGGGGATATTCAAGACCACCAAGGACCAACACCGGTGTATGAATAGAATAAACCAATGTCTTAGAATCAGCTTAAACTGTCATTTCATCTCTGGAGAGTCTGAAATATACTGTTCTAATACTCTCGGTTGTCAAGGTAGACGGGGAGATCGTTAGTCGGACAAAATTGGTCAGATCTCTAAGATATTCGATTTTTGAGATGTTTGAGCCAGCTAGAGCCACCTTGGAAATTTTTGGCTCCCTTAGATGAGTATTCCGGATTATATATTGTTATCATTCTTGTGGGCGGGAACTGAAGGTATAAGTGAGTATCAACTACTACAAGTACAGTAGCATAAAAAGGTCTATAGAAGAGGTAGATGAGTATGTACAAGTACAAGTACTAGTAACAAAGGTACTTGTATTTGTAACTGGTTCTCTTTCTCTCTCTTGCACAATCTCACTCATTGGTCCCTCTCTTTGGTCTTGTCTTACTGATGTGCCCCTGACTCTACATTCTATCTCACACTTAAGACTACGATACAACCACTACAAACGCCAGTCATAATATATACATGCATTAATTTTAATTATTCAAGTCAAATGCAAGGGCTGTGGGACTGTTCAAACGCCCGTTGGAGCTCAGACTGGTAGAAGAAGGTGACTCAGTCAAGTGTCGAGTCATGCTGGAATTAAGAAGCTTCTCCTTTTCCAGCCGGGCTTCCAACACCTTGATTCGGTCGGCGTACGACCGCGTCTCAGCGTCCTTACGTTCTCGCAACGACCGCAACGCCTCCCGGAACGCATCTCTCTGGCCCTCCACCGTTCGCAGCTTCTCGCCCATGGGTCCTCGGGTTGACGACTCCTCTAGGGTGCGAGACAACGAGATTTTGTCCGCCTTGAGCTCGTCAATCTGCTTCTGTAGCTCAATAGGCGAACCCACCATCTTGTGCACGGCCTCCAGGTCTCGAAGCTCCGGCAGCTGCGAGTTGAGCGCCGTGATCTCGGATGCCTGCTTCTCGCTCTTGTCATGAAGCTCTTGCAGCTCCTTGGACAGCCGCTCCACCTCCAGACGAGCCGAAACGAGCTGCCGGCTCTTTTCGGCAAACTCGTTTTCCTTGTAGAGTCCGGAGTAGTCGGGGGTGCCTCGGAAATGGTTCTCCACCTGGTGTCGCTTTTGTCGCTCCAAAAGCAACTGTTTCTCGAGCTCTACAAGTTTGGAAGACGCCTCGGGAATAGAGGAAGGAACAGAAGCTGCGTCGGTGCCCCGCTTATTGTGCAGACGACCCTCGAGAACGTACTCTCGATGCAGAGAGTCCGCCAGCTCGCCGGTGAGCACAGACAACTCCTGTCGCAGCTGCTCAACCTCAGTAGTGTCCTTTGCAATAGTCACAACCTCTTCCTTTCGAGGAGAAGAGAAGTTTCGAACCGCTCGAGGAGACACCCCGTCACGCCTGACAGAGGGAGGAGTCATGCTCGCATGGTGGGTGCTAGACCGGGGAGTCGAGTCAGGGGAAGAAGACAGCTGGCGCGACTTGGCAGCCCACGAAGCCTTGTCTCGAGGAGCAGAGTCGCTAAAATCGAGGCCGGCCTTGGCATCAGAGAAATCAGCAGAAGGCTTGAGACTGAGCCGCTGAGGTGGTTCGATTGAAGAGTCCAGTTCTGCAGACCCGACCGACTCGACATTCTCTTGAGGCACCTCCTCTCCTTGCATCTTCTCGTCAACCTTCGGAGCAGGAGCCACAGTGACCACAGGGGCGGTCTCCGCCACCTCCTTGGCCTCCTCCTCAATCTCTCGAGTGGCTGGCACATCCTTCACCTCAGGAACAGGCACGGGAGTAGGAATGACAGGAGAAAGAACCTGCTTCTGAACAGGCTCCTTCTTGTGCACTGGCTCAAACTCAGGAACAGTCCGCTCCGCAGCCTTGGGCTCCATAGCCTTCGACTCCACGAAAGGATCACTCTTGTCCTCGTTCAGATCCAAAGAACGCATCTTGTCAGTAGTAGACGACACAGGACTTCGGGAGTTGTAGAACTGAGGAGGGGAGACAGGGGAGGGTGTAGGCGAGTCTGAAAATGCAGGGTAGTCGGACCGGTACCGAGTCTGGGGTCGAGGCCCGTCGTCGTCGTATGAATCACGAGATTCGGGTCGGGATTCGTCAAGTGACTTGTCGTGTGACTTGTCACGAGACCCGGGCCGAGACCCGGCGTCAGAACTACCTCCACCCACCTTACCACTGGCCACAGAACCCACCACAGCCTGCTTCTTTTCAACGACCACCTGAGGCTCCTGTTGCTCGGGAACAACAATGGGAAGAGTGGGCTGTCGAGACATGTCAGGAGATCGCGAAGAGTAGAACTTGGGCGACTCGGCAGTAGCAGAATGGTCCCGCTGCTCGTAGTGCTGGAAAGGGTAGCTGGGCGAGCTACCAGGGTTTCGATTCTGGCTGGAGATTGAGCCGTTGTCGCGAGAAAGAGATGTGTTGTCACGGTTCTGGCTGGAGATGGAACCATTGTCATGCGTGAGAGAACCACTATCACGTGACAAATCACTTGCGTCCCGCACCGGGCTTACAATTTCTTCACTTCGGTCAGCGAGGCCAGCACCGTACAAATCGGCATTGTGCAATCGCACAGGACCCTCGGGGAGAGGAGAACCAGCCGGGGGGATCGACTGGGGCGAGAATGCAGAGGCTGTCTGGGTTTGTCGGGAAGACTCTGGCGAGAACTCGGGCTGGTAGAGCTCGGAATGAGCCTTGGTAGGTGTAGAGTTGGAGTGCTTTGAGTGGGTAGGAGAGGTTGAGGGAGCCACCTCAGTGAACTCTTTCTGAGAAAGGTTGCCATTGTTTCCATACTCGTCCTGACCATATTCACCCTGGTTCTGGGTACCATACTCACCCTGAGCATTGTATTCATCTCCATGGTAACCGTTGCCCTGACCATACTCATCCTGACCATAGGCGTCATCCCGGTAACCTGTATTCTGCTCCACCTCCCGTTCAGCCTCCCGCTCAAACTTGCGCTCAAACTCGTTACTCTGAACCTCATTGACATCAGCAGGTCCTCGAGCTAGAGCGTCCTGAATTACACTCTTGGGATCAAAGGCAGAGTACTCGGCAGGCTCCTCAGCAGAAATGCCATTGGGGAAAACGGTCGTTGTGGGCGTGGGAGTCTTGGACATGACACCAGGGACATTAAGGGAGGCCTGGTCAATGTCGGGCAGCTGGGGCAGCGCAAAGCCGGTCTCGTCCGTCTGCTTATTTGCGTAATCAAGCTCCTCCACTGACTTCTTCGCATATTGGGACTCGTATTTGTGCTTGAACGACTCGTCGGCCTCCTCCTCGGCCTCCTCAAACGAGATATCCTCCTTGCTGTTGCCGAGGGCTGGGGAGCCGCGCTTGACGGCGTTGGGATGCGATCCAGACGGATAGGGAGCTGATCCGGGCGACGGTTTGACCTGGGCAGCTGGTTTCACGTGAGGAGGAGACGACTCAGATGTGTCCGGAGTGTCAGGATTGGGGGAAGGAGCTGGAGAGGAGTCGTAGGCTGAATTGGGGCCAGTAGAGCCGTACTGGCCTGGGTTGGGGCCTTGTCCGGGGTTAGGACCAGAGTTGGGGCCATGGTTGGGACCGCCAGGTCCCTGTCCAGGACCGTACTGCCCAGGGTTGGGTCCTCCGGGTCCGTATTGTCCAGGCATCCCAGGACCATACTGGCCAGGGTTGGGGGAACTATGCATGGCAGGAGAACCATGGTACCCAGGACCAGGCGATCCATGAAACCCTGGTCCTGGAGAGCCATGTCGAGGCGGATGGAACGGAGGACCTCCGGGACCGGGTCCTGGACCGTAGTATCCCTGTCCTGGTCCAAAGAACCCGTTTGGTCCAGGTCCTCCAGGTCCTCCACCTGGCGACAAGGGTCCAAAGTTGGGAGGTGGACCTCCAGGGCCTCCTCCTGGTGACAGCGGTCCGAACCCGCCTGGTCCACCCGGTCCAAAGCTACCGTTGGACCGTCTGGGGCCTCCCATTGAGTGCATGGAGCCCATAGAATGCATCGACAGCCCGGACATGGTTCTGCCTGCTCCAAAGCCGCCAGGGCCCGGGCCAAAGTTCTGGGCAGCCTGCATGGCGCCCGAGCCTAGTGACATGGCTCGTCCTCCTCCGAGGGTTTGTTTTCCGATCGGAGGGCCGTTGATGGGTGCTCCGGATGCCCGATGAGGCATGTAATAGTCCGATCCGGGAGGCACGGGGCCTGCAGGACCCATGTGGAACCGCTGGGGTCCGGATCGCTGCTTGGGGGGTGGTAGCTGCTGCAGATGGGAGCTCTGATGTGGGTACGAGCCAATGTCGTGGTACGCCTGGGCGTCCTGTTGCTGCAGTTTTTGGCGCTGGGCAGCTACCTGTTTTCTGTAAGCCGATCCGGCAAGTCCCTCTGCTGTCTGCGAGGGGTGACGTAGCGTGGGGATAATGGGGTTTGTGTCGCTCTGGTTGAGGACCATGGATAGGCCCGCTGGCGCGCCCTGCGAGCTCATGGACATGGTTCTGCCGGAGCCTGAGAGCTTGGATCCGAGATTTTCAAACGCCAGCTCGGGCATGGAGTCGATCGGGTGGGCGTCGGGGCCTCCCGGGGTTCCCGGATCGCTTCCATACTGTTGCTGCTGGTGCTGTGGCGGGTCCTGGAACTGTCCGTACGGCGAATGGCCCGGTCCGTAGCCGTGTCCTTCGTTGGGGCCAAAGTTGCCGGGCCCGCCGTACTCAGGCTGGACGCCGACGCCCAGTCCGACGCCGTTCTGCGGTTGGTGAAGAGACGGAGACGAATGACTGGCTGGGTGCTGTGGGCCGCTGAACGACGCGGTGGAGGAGGCGTTTGTGGGGATCTGTGGCCCGTAGTCGTCCTCGTCGCCCAGGTACAGATGGTTGTCGTCCTTGGCCTTGTCTTTTTTCTTCCAGAATCGCGACATGTGTGTTTTTCTGGAGGAGGTTGGATTGTGTCGCGTCTTTTACCTGCACTATTGTAGGTCTGAGGTTGAGGACAATAGGCTCCGGAGCTTATATCCGCTTTACAATCCCATTGTGTGGTGGTAGTAGCTACAATACTGTATGTACTGGTAGTAGTGTGTGAGCTGCAATAAACAGCATCCACATGTGTTTTGGGGGGCGAAATTGGACTGCTAAACCGGCACGGTGCCACAAAACGCCCTGCGATGGCCCACAATCACTCGGCTCGGACCTGGGTGCAAAATCTTCCTCATTCCTGCCTGCAGATTCCTACACATGCACAGGTCCGAAACCAATGGGGGCAGGGGTGTGAAACACGATAATATTGGCGTGGGTTGGGGGCCGGGAGATGTCTGGCTGTCATCTGGGTTCGGCGTGTCGCCCATTTCCGTCCGCACCACGCCCATGATACGGCTACCGGTCCTGCCAAAGTACTTTCAATTAGGGCATTTGGTCTCTTGTTAGTTGCAACCAGCCTCACTGATGCACCATGCTAAAGAGAGATGGTGCAGATAGAGCTCACTAACGGGCCTATGCCAATGTGGAGCATGGAGTTTCCGTCGGGCGGACGATGGTTGCTGGTGGGAAATGGATTTCTTGGTAATTATTCAACTGCTGGTCCTGCTCGACATTCCCCATTTCGCAAACCCCACACGGCGATCTCCCTTTGTCTCACGCTGTTGTGCATTCATTCTGGAGTTGAGGAATGCAGGCATCTGCAGATTTGGAAAAAAGCCTGCAATAGCCAGCAAAAAAAAAAAGAAAAAAAAACCGCCAAAATGCCAAAATGGGATGAGGGCCAGAGGGAGCGAGTTGAACGAGTTGAAAGAAGAAAGAAAAGAAAAGGAAAGAAACCTCACGGTCGTCGCAGGTTCAGGTGGTGCGACAAAAGAAACCGTGACGTCACCCACTCCGCTCGCAGGTACAAGACATTTCCAGTCAGGCACGCGGCAAGGCACATTTACAGGGGTGGCAGGGTTCAAACTCATGATGACACTTGCCACCAAGCGTCATTCACATGTCCATGTGCATTGACAGGTCGGCCCAGTCTCTGGTTGCTACTGTGGAGACCATAAGCCGTAATGGCGCTGTACGTTGATAACCGTTTGATGGTATGGTTCCAAATCTCAACCGCAAATACCCTTCAGACTTTCCTTCCCTGCCGTGGTGATCAGAGTTGGAATTTGACGATCCAGCGGACCGAGAGTCTATTTGAATGGATCGTTTTGTTGATTAGTGATGTGATATTGCGCGGGGTGGGGTGGAGTGGAGTGCGGTGGGATGGTTACGAGACAGTCACCGGGTCTCCGTCTAGCACTTGAGACTTACTCATCATCAGGCAGTTGTTACTACTATACTAATAGCTACTTACCATCATCAGTATAGTACAGTATCGGTACGACTAGGTTGGGAATGAGCAGGGTGCCAAAGCAAAAAGCAAAGTGTCGAAAAAGGCGAATGTACAGTACGAGTGCGAGTAGCAGGATACTGCATTTTATGGAATGAACGGTCGGAACCCATTCACCGTGGATCTCTTTGATTGGTGTTTCGGAGGTGTGTGTATGTACATACTGTGGTATATCCATAGCTCCAATCTACAGTATGAGTATGTATGGCACACTACATACTGTACAGGTTGTCAGTCTCATATGGCAGTCTCATACGGCAGTCTCATACGGCAGTCTCATACGGTAATCGCACTCGTACAATGTCGATAGAGTTAGACGGAGATTTAAACTGGCTTCCTTTAGCGATTTTCCCCTGAAATGAATCTCGCGTTGATCCCTGAGTCTACTTGTAGGTGCGAGCTGTGGCTTGAGAGGAGGAATGGATTTATCAGAGTGTGGGTGAAGTTGGGAATGAGGTGAAGTTGGGAATGAGGTGAAGTTGGGAATGAGGTGAGGTTTTAACACATATCTCGGTGTTAAAAGGTATCTCTCATGGGAAGGGGCACGCTATGGAGGATTCGTTGTCTGGAGAGCGTATTGGAAGATGAGCTGTCGGTCGTGTCTATCTTGTTGGCTACAAGTTGAGGTCCAAAGTGCTTCAACTGGATGGTTCCACCGTTGAATACAAACAGTTGCTTCCTTCTGAGATCAAACAGCTTGTATGATTTCCACTGCGGCTGGCAACTATGAGCAGGTGGTTGTATCCCATCTGTCTTCTCTTCATGGTTCCCAGCTTGTTGCCATCAATACTAGACCCTGCATTCCTTGGTTCATTTTCATCTTGACGTTTCTGCTAAGCCTCAGTAATCTCATCATAGCTCAATGAAGTTTTCAACAAATCTCCTGGTCAAGTTGATGCTGGTCGATGGCGGCATTCATCACATGTCTTGTTGTATCTGAAGCAGCAGCCCTTTGGTCAACTGTTGTGCTGAATGGGACTAACATCATCTATCACCACCCCGGACTGACAATCTCAGAACTGACAATCCCGGAACTGACAACCCCGAAACTGGTCACCCCCCAAACACACCACTCCAGTTTCACTCTCTACCGTCTACCATCTTGTGTCAATAACATAACATCTCATTTCTATACTCTTCGCTAAGTGAGATTGGAGCCCACCTCGGATGAATGCTTACCTCAGTTCACCTCTCCAATGAACAATGATTTCAAGCTGTTCACCAGATCTCGGCTTCTCAACCATTCTCACATTTTTTAGGGGAAACACCTGATGCTGTGGACTAGTCTGGCATGGTCAACTAGTCAGACGGTCAACTAGTCAGACGGTCGTCCCCTCCGGGATACTGCCTTCCTATGCATCTCACTGCTTAGTTCTGCAAATCAATCTTTCCAACAATGTTGTACCGCTGAGAGAAATAACTGTACCATTCCTCCAGAGTCTTGAGATCCTTCTCAGACAGATCGGCAGTCAACTCCTGCCATGAAATGATCTCACCAGCAGGAGCAAAGTCCTCCTCCTCCAATGAGCTCTTTCCCAGCGCCTTGGAAGCGTCCTTGCCGCAAAAGACGTGGTAATTGGTGCCTGGGCCATACGCCTTGGAGTTTCGAGTGACATCGAAAACATCGCCCTTGATTCCAACCCACAGCTGCTCGGACTTGACGCCGTCCTTGAGCGACAGCTCGGCGAGGGTGATGGGAGTGTCCTTGGGAGGATCGAGTTGAATGGGCTCTTTGGGTGCAAATCGCATGGTGTAGTGTCGAGTAGGTCGAGTGGGTCGAGTGTGTCGAGTGTATGGAGTGCTTAGTCAGAGGACATCTGATACTGCACGTCACTAATTACGGATCCCAAGTTGGATTACTAAGCGCATGTGACGCGACAGCCTGGTCAGCCGAGTTTGATTGGGTGAGGACGAAAGCGGTGCAAAATGGCAAATTGGAAGCAGACAACAATTGATTGGGGAATTTAGAAAGTGAAATATTGGTATTATGTATTATTATACTGTATTTATTTTAAGGTGGTTGTCGGTCTATACAGTGATGATACTACAGTAATCATACCCTCTTATAAGGTGAAGCTGGTGGTTAGCACAGAGAATGCTTTCATCTCGTGAACGAGAGAAGATGTGAATATGCTGACTTAATAAACCGACCATTCGGCCTGTAAATACCCCGTCTATCAACTCATTTCATAGTCGTGGCCCTTCTAGAGCCCGAGATGATGCAGTTTGGTCCAGAAAGCTGATTCAAACCTCACATATCTCTTCCATTTCAACACTAGAATAGATCGAAATAATCCATTAATTTCATCACGTTTGTTAACAGCTTCTAAAACTATCTATTGCTAATCCATGCTCACAATTCCTCAAACAAGACCGTGTTGGAGAAACATACGAACATGCAAAGACTGATTGCAACACCTTACATCACATTTTAGTATTGTAATATGTCCATATTATTATATCATTCTGTTCCCCAGAACGAGAGCTACCGTTTGGTATACTTTATAACACTCCATTTCCTCTCTATCTCTCAATAGCTTGTTCTAAAAAGTTTCAACTGACATAATCTAATAATAGACACCTAATCAAGTGCAACCATGGACATCTCAGAACTGCTCTCAACCACCCTCAAGTGCAATTACTAGATACATATTGTGAGAAGATCGCCGCGGTTACCGGAGTTAATCACCTGACTGTCCACCACGCTAGTCACATGACTACCAGCCAATCAGAAGACCGAAGTTAGCCATTGACAGAGTTGCATTCAACGGCAACGGCTCGGAGCGGAGTCCGACGAGATAATCCGGTTGCCGGGGAGACGGAGGAAGACAGGAGCACAGATACAGAGAGTGTCGCTTAGATAAATCTAAAACAATAAGGGATTATGTAAGGAGTGTCTACGTATGGTGAATATCACTCAACTCATTTTGTCCCGTGACCCCCACTTTGGCTTTCGACGTCGCAACGGGCGTATATGCAATGTCGTATGTACTGTGGTAGAAGTCTCTCGCTAAAGTGAGTGGAGGTTGCAGAAAAGTGGCGGATTTTGCGCCTGAGTTTTGATAATGCTGCTTAGTCAGTAATCCCGGGGACAGCTTAGTAACGTACTGGAGGCAACGGCATCTATTGATCCTTGCGCTCGACGTGCTATTAATTCCCTCTTCTTCTATACGGCGGGGGGACAGAACATGTTCCATGAGTTTCATTGCTACGTGGGGGTATTTAGAGTTGCATTGGGGTTTCGGAGGGTCCATAGATTCTGGGGTTGTAGTTGTTCAATTGGAGTGCTAAGGATATAATCTGAATCCCCGTGATTACACGATTCGATTGGTTTTCTCACCGTCACTCAAGCTCCATTATAACCCTCTCAAACCTCCATCTTTTCGCCTGTTGCAAACTTAACTCAACCCCCACACTAAAACGAAGACGCTAATCGAGAGTATATATAGCCCTGCGGAGCTCGCTGTTGCTAATGTTTTTCTCCACCCTGACCCGAGTCCGAACGAGTTTCAAGTCCGTGTCTTTGAAACCCTTCACCTCAGTTGTTAACCTTCCTGCACGTGCAGCGCCCCGTTCAACTACACCTCTTTGTTTCCCTACCCCACGTCTCTACTCTACACCCTCCACAATGGCTGCCACCGACCCCAAGAAGTACCTGTTTAACCACACCATGCTGCGGATCAAGGACCCCAAGGTCTCTGTGCCCTTCTACGAGAAGCACTTTGGCATGAAGGTCCTTGGTCACTACAAGTTTGAGCAGTTCAAGTTCGACATCTACTACCTGGCCTACGACCATCCCGAGTCTCCCTACTACGGCAAGCCCGTCTGGGACCGACAGGGAGTCCTGGAGCTGACCCACAACTACGGCACCGAGAACGACGCCAACTACAAGATCAACAACGGCAACGTGGAGCCCCACCGGGGCTTTGGACACATTTGCTTCTCGGTCGACAACATTGAGAAGGTGTCTGCTGATCTCGAGAATGGCGGCGTCAAGTTCCAGAAGAAGCTCACCGACGGCCGACAGAAGGATATTGCCTTTGCTCTGGACCCCGATGGATACTGGATCGAGCTCATCACCAATCACGAGGCCAAGCTGGTGGCCAACGAGACCAACCCTTCTTCTTACCGATTCAACCACACCATGCTGCGAGTCAAGGACCCCAAGAAGTCCATTGAGTTCTACACTGAAAAGCTGGGCATGCGACTCTTCCGAACTTCCAAGCACGAGAACGCCAAGTTCACTCTTTATTTCCTTTCTTACGATAAGGACTTTGAGGTGAACGACGCCTCCCGAGCCGGCGACCGAGAAGGTCTCCTCGAGCTGACCCACAACTGGGGCACCGAGGACGAGGCTGACTTCTCTTACCACAACGGAAACGCCGAGCCCCAGGGCTTTGGCCATCTGGCTATTACTGTTGACGACATTGAGGCTGCCTGTGAGCGGTTCAACAAGATTGGCGTCAAGTTCAAGAAGCAGCTGGACGAGGGTGGAATGAAGTACATTGCCTTCATTCTGGATCCCGATGGATACTGGATCGAGGTCATTCCTCCCTACAACCTGCCTCTTGAGAACCACGCCAAGATCTAGGCACCATGAAGAGGATAACTAGGGGATGCATGCCATATGGCGATATTTGTATAAACAATGATATTGGTGTATATTGAATTAGACAGGTTTGGGCGCAGTCTTAGATTACTCTACTAGAGTTTTTTATGTGTTCCGAATGGTTGCGATGCTCAATGCCTTTGTGGAAGATCCTACAAGAGAACCCATTAGCCTGACAAGTGAATCGACTGGATAAGTCGAAGTTGCCGTATCGATCGAAATAGTTTAACCCATTGACAGATCACTTGGTGCATCATGTTGAAACTCTCCTCTCATATCACAACTCCAAATCCCTCAATAAAACCTCTCCGTGCCCTCAATATGTACAAATACACAATAATTTAATGTTAGCTATATGCAATTCTCGTCTCACTTTTTTTCCTCTGATCAAGTCAACTTCTTTCGCTTGCTCCACAGTCCGGAGAACTTTTCGTAGTTGATCTTCTTTGAAGGAGCTCGCTGCTGCACCATCTGTTTAGTACTCTCGGCCGCGTCCTTGGGAGGAGCAGGCTTCTCGCCATCCTTTTGCTTCTGTCGCTTTCGCTTCTTGGGCTCCTTATACACTCCAGCGGCCTTGTCGGCCTCGATCTTCAACAACTTGGTTTCCTGTTCCTGCAGGTACTCCATGTTGACGGTGGTCCAGACGGCCTCCTTGATGTTACGCTCCTCGTCGTTGAGCAGAATGGAGTCGATTTCGGGATCGTCGTCGAGATCCGATAACGACTCGACCACTGGAGGTCTGGCGTCGCCTCCTTCCTTCTCGGCTGTCTGCTGATCCTCCATCATCTGCTCATGGGGTGTTTTCATGGCCAGAAGTGCCTCTGTGGCGGCATTGTTAGCCTCCTCGTTGAGCATTCGACGCCGTTCTCGCTCGTATTCAATGATATACTGGGCTCTGTTCTGAACGGTTCTCTCTGCCTTTTCCTGCGGAGTGTCTTCCAGAAATAGCGCCTCCTTGGCCCGCTCCTCCGGGTTTTCGTTCTTCTCCACCATCTGCGCCATCATCTCCTCCATCTCCGCGTCAATCTCGTCCTGAACCTTCTCCTCAATACCTTCCTGCTCCCGCTTTCGATGCTTCTGGTACGAGGGCGGGTCCGACTGCGACTCGATGTTGGTCATTCGGAACACTGAGATGGTCTGGCGACCAGCCTCGGTGTGTCTGAACTCGTCCAGACGTCGTTGAAGCGTTTCTTCCGCGACCTTGGCGTAAAATGCAATCTGCGTCTTGGACCGACGCTGGTTGTTCATTCGAGCTGCTAGCAGCAATGCGGCGGCGGCGATACCGGCAGGACGACGACCCTCAACCAGATAGTCACGTCCCATACGCTGAACAAGTCGAACCGCGTCGTTTCGCACGTTTTTTGCGTTGTCAAAGTCGAGCTTGGACGCAAACCGCTGAATGTAGATGCTCGGGTCGATCAGTGGCAGGTTCTTGATGTCCAATGTCTTGAGCAGTTGCAGGTAAGTGGTTCCGATAGCAAACACGTTGCAAAATAGCTTGTCTGCGAAATCAATAAGCATTTCATGTCGCAGTTCTCGTCTGCAGGCAACGTACAGACACGCCGAAACCACGTATTGTGACCGTCGGCCCTTGACAAAGTTCTTGGTGACGGCTAGAACAAAATACCGATGGGCCTTTTCAATGATATGTTGGGGGATATCCATGGCGTGTGCGAGCGCTGTGATTCGGTTCTTGCCCTTCTGTAAAGTCAGCTCGCGTGACTCGCCGTGGAAGTTGTTGTTTCGGATACCGGACTGGTCGGCTCCCACAAACGAACCGTGCACCACGGCAGCTCCAGAAGACGACTCTCCGAAGGTCACCTCGGACACAATAGGCGCGTCGTCAACGACAACACCACAGTTGGCACAGGACGAGTCGTTTCCGTCTCGCTTGATCGATGTCGATCCACATCTGGGGCACTTCATGGTGGCTGGACAGTGTTCTGAAGGTGTGCAAGTGACGAAAATGAACAGTTGGTAGGTGATGTAAGCCAAAGATGGATTTTTTATATGCATCTAGAGTTTATGTGGGATGAAGAGAAAGTGGAGAGTATCTGACACGAAGTGAAACGACGGTTTGAAGGAGAAGAAATACGCGTGTTATATATTTGGTTTTTTCTTCCATTTCTGGCGCTTTTTCCGAAAAGACAACTATTTTATCAAAATTGATACGAATTTTCCTGATTTTTCGCTGCTTCCATGTTTTGGTTACAGAAGGGAAACCCAAAACATGGACGCTAAAAAACGCCATAAACAATGTCATCGGTGGGATTCGAACTTTCGTGTGGCTAAGTCATTTTCGGAAAAACCGACATACCTGCAAGAGTATCGTTCATGAGATGTCGGCGTGCATGAGCGCCAACAAGCGTGTACAGTACATACATGACATGCGTTGAGATGTCGGAAAAAGACATTGTATATTCACACGACTCGACAAGACGTGTGGTGGTGAGATTTTAAGACTGTTTCGATATTTTTCAGTGTATATTTCAGGTGGCAAATACCACAACTCTAATTAAATAATTTTAGCTTTTGTCAACCCAACTTCTGGGTCCGTTAAAAGGGTCTTGTAGACACAAATACGGCTGGAATTTTGCCTGGAAGACGGCATGTGGCCCATTTATGTGTATGTCACGTCACATCTCTGCTCTCGGGCCTTACCCCACCTCGAGTTATGTTCGGCATCTCTTGCACTTGTCAGGTATGCAACATGGTTGGTCCGGCGGCACAACTATAATGGGAGCTTTATTTGGGACAGAATTGATTGTTGAAATGTTGAACCGACGTTTTTCCGTTGTATTTTGCTGTGCTGTGCTGTGCTGTATATGGACAGTAGTGCATCCCATCCCCTGTCTGTTTGTGTGGTCGGACCGCTAGCTGTTAGCTGGTTTTTAGCCATTTTTTCAGCATTTTTCAAGCCTATCATTTTTGCAGCTCCGATTTCACCCAGACTTGAATGTACAGTGAGTGTACGCGTCCTGTCACAACTGATGGCCCAGAGCTGAAAGTAATCATGACTACAATTGTGGTGGTGTCGGTGTTGGTGGTGTCGTGGCGGTGTCGTGTTTGTGCTCAATCCACGAATATATAAACCCCCCGATCTCCCCAGAACCATGACGGAGCCGACATACTCCCGACTCTTGCACTCACCACCGGGCACGCCCCCTCTCTAACTTTGGACCTGCCTCGGTTGGGGGAGGTTTTGCATAAGATGAAATGCACGGCGGCCAAGAATCGGCAACGACCATAGGGAGCTACCGGTGCTTGGGTCAGTGTAGAGCTCAACGGAGTGACTACAATGTGGTGTTGAGCGGCGGTTTACGGAGACAATTGATTTCCAGCTTGATACCGATTGCGACACAGGATATGTGGTGCCATGTGGTGCCATGTGGTGTCTGGTTGTGTATATATATATATATATATATATATATATATATGGGTCTGGCCTGTGGCGGACTGTCCTTTGCCTTTTGTTATGTTATTTCCCACACGTTGTTCGTCCACTCCAACACTCCCTTTCTACCCCTCAGTGGACTAGGGTTACCAACATGCTCGGCTTCTCCTCCTACATTGGACCAAGACAAGGTTTGGAGTTTAAGCGTTGGGAGGAACCACGGGTGCAGTCGGTGGTGGTCGGTCGCTCCCCCAGGGCGTGTGTGTGTGTGAGTGTGTGCGGTCCTGTATAATCTCGCACCCAACGCAAAAAAAGCCAAAGGTAAAGTTTCCAACCTTGGAGAACTAAAGAAGACCCTTCTAAGAAGACGGACTTCACACTCTTACCAACCACACAACACACAAGATGTACTCCGCCATTCGAGCCACCCGTATGGGTGTCAGGTGAGTAGAGCAATGGGCAATGGGCAATTGCCAGAGACAAGACGACTGGAACGGGCGCGCCACCACATCCACAAACACACACAAACACACAGTCGTCAACTGTGCACGTTTGGTCACAACTCCACCACACAGGTGCTGCAAACTCGACGGAAAAGAAGAGGGGGCCCGCACCCGTCACAGAACCACCCGGACATGTCTCCACGTGGGTAATTGAGCGTGTACGAGCGTCGAGAAGCCCGGATTGCCGTGTCGGGGGCTCTGATCGCGCCCTCTATCGTTGGCCTTTCCACGGCTCTTTTTTTTACTCATGCGCTGTTAATTCCGGAATTTGACGTAACTTTGAGTGGTCGGAAAATCACGGACACTACTGCACGCGTGGGACAGCGTCTCCAGACCTCGACGGCGAGCGGTGCAATGGCCATGACAGCTCCACGGGTTGAGTGCACCGTCGCCAGTCGCCCCCTCAGCAGTGCCGTCTGCAGGTAAATTAACCGAGGCTGCATGTGGTTGTTGATATTCCGGAATAATCCGGTGCATGCAGGACAGAGCGACGACATTGCAACAAAACAGACAACACCGTATGAATGTGACCAGCAATTGAGCTGTAAAATAGACCATCTCCTTCCCCCCACTAACACAGATCCTTCTCCACTTCTGCCCCCGTCCGAAGCTACGCTGATACCGTCAACAACCTGAAGATCAACTCCAACACCAAGGTGCTCTTCCAGGGCTTCACCGGAAAGCAGGGAACCTTCCACGCCCAGCAGGCCATCGACTACGGCACCAAGGTCGTTGGAGGAACCAACCCCAAGAAGGCCGGCCAGAGCCATCTCGGTCTCCCCATCTTCGGCACCGTTGCCGAGGCCATGAAGGAGACTGGATGTGACGCCTCCGCCATCTTCGTCCCCCCTCCTCTTGCCGCCGCCTCTATCGAGGAGGCCATTGAGGCCGAGCTGCCCCTCGTTGTCTGTATCACTGAGGGTATCCCCCAGCACGACATGATCCGAGTGGTCGACATGCTCAAGACCCAGTCCAAGACCCGACTTGTCGGTCCCAACTGCCCCGGTATCATTGCTCCCGGCCAGTGCAAGATCGGTATCATGCCCTCTTCCATCCACAAGCGAGGCCGAATCGGTGTTGTGTCCCGATCCGGAACCCTTACTTACGAGGCCGTCAACCAGACCACCCAGGTCGGTCTCGGCCAGTCTCTCGTTGTCGGTATCGGAGGTGACCCCTTTGCCGGTACCAACTTCATCGACTGCCTCAAGGTTTTCCTCGAGGACGAGAACACCGACGGTATCATCATGATCGGTGAGATTGGAGGTACCGCCGAGGAGGAGGCCGCTGACTTCCTCAAGCAGTACAACCAGACCCGAGAGGTCCCCAAGCCCGTCTGCTCCTTCATTGCCGGTGTGTCTGCTCCTCCCGGACGACGAATGGGCCACGCTGGAGCCATCATCTCCGGTGGTAAGGGTGGTGCCGGCTCCAAGATCTCTGCTCTTGAGGCCGCTGGTGTTGCCGTCGAGCCTTCTCCCGCCCGACTCGGTAAGACTCTTTACGACGAGTTTGTCAAGCGAGACCTGCTCTAGACTGTTAGTTAATTGATAGATGTTATTAGATGAGCGGGTGGTGGCCCAACCAGCACTCTGACGAGAGTGAACGTAGCAACGGTCTGCTCTAGTGATCATAAGACTTCCACAGAAGAAGCCATTGAGTTGTAGTAAACGGGTACCAGTGCGATAGTAGGCTGTTGTTCGTATTTTAGACACAATACTTGAGAACCCTACCTTGGAGATGGCCGTATTATGTATCAATTATTGTTGGATAGATGATGGTCTGTTTTCTGATTAGAATTCAAAATAACGACATTCTCTTTCTCAATTGGCTAATAAGAGAGGTTGAGGGAGCTATGGAGGTGGATTGGGGAATGGCGATGAAGTATTCCACAGCTCTTGAGAGTCGGCTATCGTGATATGTTGAATGTATGGAGGTCTCTCAGTCCTCTTTTTTTTGTTATAATCCACTTTGACCACTTGTAAAGCTCTCCTTTCAGATAGTGATCAGGGACAAAGTAGTGTAGCTGACTGAAACTACTGTAATATGTCCCGCTTCACTTCAACAAGACCCTCAAATCATGCACAACTAAACTCTTGTTAGTTTAGTTAGAATTTGTTGGGTGGTTAGTTGAAATAGGAAGTCCACTGGTCACTGGTCTGCATCGGTCTGCTGGGTAACCATTCATTGTTCCCAAAACCATCTACAGCACAAGTGGTATATACCAATGGATGTAATGTAAGCTGTTAATTTAGGACTACGGGATATTGGCCATCCTGGAGACATCGTACTCGCACTCATGTTGTGCAGTTGTATAATCTAATGAGTTACTTTAGCATTTGTTGAAACTTTAGTTAGAAACTTCAGGTAGCTATACGTCCCTTCTACCTTCTACATCTACTCCATGTGCAAATCATACAAACAACCGCATTTACGAAGAGTTGGTGAAGCATTTCCTGTCGCCGACTAAACAACTCAGAAGACTCATTCGCACCGCAACTTGCCCTAAAAGTGAGATTACCTACAGTGCACAGGACTTGCTTGGTATGACTTCGATAGCAATTTGTGTTGTGTTGCTTAGAGAGTTCTGGAGTATAATTGTACCCAATTTAACGCCGGTGATAGGTTTGAGTCAGCAGAAATGCTATCTTTTGTGTTTGTGACTCATGGTGCGATTTATATGAGCACGTTGGAATTATTTCGTGTTTTCGTGATTATCGTAAAATATATTTCACATTGGAGAAATTAAGCTCATGAGATGTGGTGGGGGTGCGGTGGGGGTGCGGTGGGGGTGAAGTTGGGATGAATGGGGGCGGGCATATCTTGTTCGGTGTTGCAGTTGTGAAGTTCAATTTTTGAATAGCCACTTTTTGCAGCTCTGACAATATTTCTGTATTATTTGCAAGCGATTCTGACCCCAATTGAGCCTGTTGAATGGTGTCATAAAACCAGACGTTGCGCGGGGCCGAACTTTGTTCGAGCTACCAGTAGGGGGGGGGTAACATGTTTGTGATTTTGAAACACTGGGAAACTATGAACTGGACTTTATCCCCTGTATAATCAAGCTCTCTATATGTTTTCGTGTTTTGTGTATATTTTTTTCCATCCTAATCGGCCCATTATTGCTGATTCTAAGTCCATTTTGAGCGGTATCTATGGTAATACTGGTATTAGTGCCCCGGCGATAGCGGGGTGCAATTAATGTATACGCGTTGAAAGCACATGCCCTTCCTCAAATCCGTAATGCTCGCATTTGGCATGGAATTCCCGGCCCGATATTCACTCAATCCCCCCTTGCTACGGCCCCCACTTGTACTCTTTCTCCATAGCAATGTTTTATATTGTACATGTGAGGAGCACGTCGCAGCGGTATTTGTAGTGGTGCCATCTGCAAGGCGGCTCTGATAGTGATAATAGTACGGTAAATCAGATTTGTACCGCTATCATACTACCAGTTAACACAGACACAAGACACTAGAGGTGATCGAAACAACCGGTATAGACTGAAAAACGACAGCTTGTGCGAAACCCATACAGCACCCAAGACGACCAGAAATCTCCTCCTTAATTAAAACATGGCCCGCAACACAACGGACCGCCATCTCACCGTGCTTGTCCATGATCTGCTAAACATTGCCGACGAGCATACCGGCAGCTCGCTGCTGAGCACCAACCAGGCTCGCGCGGAGGCGACAGGCCACATTCTGTGCGAAAAGTCGCGCCACTCTCGAGAGGAGCTCAACGAGTTTGTCATGAACGTCCGGGGTCTGTCCAACCGGCTGAGCAACCTCAAGTTGAAGCCGCAGCTGCGACAAGTGATGATTGTAGCGAAACTGCAGGATAAAGACATCATTGCCAAGACGCGCGACTTTGCGTCGCTGCTGATGAAACGTGGAATCTCCGTCTACGTGCAGAAAGAGCTGGCGGCCCATCCTCTGTTCAACCTCAATGGACTTGAGGGAGACGCCAAAAACGCCGACACAAAGTTCCACACTTGGTCCGAGGTGGCTCTGCCGGACCCCAACAAACTGGACCTGGTCGTGACCCTTGGGGGCGACGGAACGGTGCTATTTGTGTCCTGGCTGTTCCAGCAGATTGTGCCACCGGTGGTCTCCTTTGGCCTGGGCTCTCTGGGATTCCTCACCGAGTACGAGTGGGACAGACGTGAGGAGACGATCGATTCGATCGACAAAAACGGCATCTATCTGTCGTTGAGAATGCGGTTCGAGTGCCGCGTCATCCGAGCTGTCAAGGACGACGGAGAGGACTGGATGACCCGAGACTTGGACGACGAAATTCGTTCCATGGTTACCTCCCACAACTCGACCGACAACCTGGACGAGTACTCGTACGACAAGCATTACGTGGACGCCACGCACTCGATTCTCAACGACTTGGTGGTTGACCGAGGCACAAACTCCACCATGACCACCACAGAGCTGTACACGGACTTTGATCACCTGACCACCGTACAGGCCGATGGACTGGTGATTGCCACTCCTTCTGGATCCACGGCGTACTCCCTGTCCGCAGGAGGATCTCTTGTTCACCCCGATATCCCCGGCATTCTCATTTCCCCCATTTGTCCCCATACTCTGAGTTTCCGGCCGGTTGTTGTGCCCGATAATACTACGATTCGAATCGGAGTGCCATACGATGCTCGGGCGTCGGCGTACTGCTCGTTCGACGGCCGATCGAGGGTGGAACTGACGCCTGGAGACTTTATCACCGTCACCGCGTCGCGATTCCCATTCCCCAAGGTGCAGTCGGAGGCTGGGTCCGAGTGGTATTCTGGTTTGTCCAATACGTTGAACTGGAACCAGCGAAAGCGACAGAAGCGGTTCACCAACATTTAAGAACGGACAAACGCCGTCATGAAGTCCATGATATGAAGCTGACACGGAAGTTGAATAGGAGAAAGCATATGAAAATGGTGGAATGAAGTAATTAAATGCTGATATGAAGTTTGCAGTGGGTTTGGGGGGGGGGGGGGGGGTTGTCTTGATCTTGAAGAGGGTCTTTACTGGCCTGAACAGGTTCATTCTGTACTGCTATGGAGTCACTGTGGGTAGAGTGTCTACAGTATGCATACATCTCTCCCTGTTTTCGTCCTTGCTCTTCAAGTACGAAACATGAGACCAGATGGAGGTAGAATGTGTTCGTACGAGTATACATACTAGATATAGAGCTATTGTTGGTTTCTCCTCTGTTTTGTAGCCTCCCGTCTACTGCTACAAGTACACTACACTCGTACTGGTAGCTAAAAGCAAATGCCAGCCTTCTTTAGTCACACGCGTAAGAGGCTGGACTGTCTTTCCTGATGAGTTTGTTGAAGTACATAGTACAGCAAAAGAGACTGAGTTCGGTGTCTCATTCTTATTTTCAGGTAGATATTGGTATACTCTTGTAGTCCTTGCGATGGTTTTGGTACATACTGGTCAGTACATAGGTGCAAGTACACAGCCTAGTCTGAGTGTTGTAGTAGTTGTACAACCGAGGATGGGCCAGCAACTGCGAGTGGACTATGTATGTACTGTACTTGTAGAAAGGCTTTATAGACGCTTTGTGGCGGCTTCTTGTCATCTGCCGCTCGATTCAGTTTTGAACAGGCACATTTCGTGTCTCAGTAGACGAGCTAACCTGGTAGTGTATATACTTGAACTTGTACACTGGTCCATCCTTTTTCGAAGTGGGTAAAACTGACAGAAAATGAATAAAGAAAAACAATAGATAATAGCTGACGCGTTTACACATGGGCTGGGTTGTTTCATCGCCCACAAAATACATTTGCGCCCTTACTCGTGTCCAAATTACTCTCACTCGAACTCCCCAGTCAACGGTCTCACATGCGATTAGCGCGAGGGGTGACAGGGGTGCAAGTCGCACAAACATGTAGCAGATGGAGGGGTGGCTGAGACTACGGGCCTGGGCTATGCTTGGCAGGGGTGGCCATGTGACGTAGGGAGCTTTTTTGTCAGTGTTGGAGCTGTTGGCGGTACATTGTTGGTTGTTTTCGGTGCATCTCCGACTTCTCCGAACCAAAGTCAAACCTGAGACAATTTGGCGGGGAGCTGGTGAGGAAGGCTGGACATGGTTACTGAAGAGGAAGACTCATGGGGGATGAAGAGGGAAAGGCATGAAAGAGGAAAAGAGCTGAAAAATGAAAAGAGCTGAAAGAGGAAACGAGCTGAAAGAGGAAACGAGATGGATTGATGGAGAGGGAGAGATCTGGTCGGGTGATAGACAGCTATTATTCGGGCTTCTCATTCGGCTATTCGGAGATAAGACAAAAAACTGTTTTTAGCCCAATCTACGCGCTAAGGTCAATACTCCATAACCCGCCCAGAACCCGCCCAGAGTGTATCAGTCACGTATTCGAGAGTACGAGTAGAGTAGCACTGGTGCACCCGTGCCCTTCATGTCTCTACATTTCGCCTCAAATCGCTCCAAACGGCACAGCAACCATGTAAAGTGAATCGGGGTCAACAGATGGTTAGACTGCTCAGCTTTAATTAGGGGGCTTCCAATTATAGCCTGGGAAGCCAGGGTCTAGCGGCTGTACAGTTACGTATTGTAGTCGGAAAAACGAAGAGAGCCGATTGAGAGCGACCACGGATTGATGTCATAACTCTTGCTGCGGTTTCCCCGTCTTTTTTCATCGCTTCTGGTGTCTGATTTCATTGGCTGGAAATGGCTGATTCAGTCCGCACAATCTTGTACACCACTGTAAATTTACCCGTTATTTCGGCTGGCTAAAAATACATGGCCAACCACTGACTGAGTTCACACAATCTGAGTTAAGTTGGAGGAGGATCAGACAGCAAAGCTACTGCAAGCTATAAATAGGTAATTTTGGGGCTGAGGACGTCGGTTGCTGGGACGGGGAGAGGATATTGCGCCAAACAAACACGTGATTCGGCCTCTACGCGCCCCGCCGAGCTCGTCGGTACCCGATAAACGCGCTTTCCACGTCTTTTAGACCCAGAAAGGTGACCGAGTGCGTTGTAAATTCCATCCATGCACTCCCCAGAAGTTGCGTCATAACGTTAACGGGAGGAGGCTGTTTGGAGGTTGGAAAATTCCCAAGAATTGGAAAAAAAACAGGAAAAAACAGGAAAAACACCAGAAAAAACCAGACTCATATGTTTTTGCCCTTTTAACATCCTTTTATCTACTCTTAATATTCGAAACTGCTCCATTACGCCCGCAAATCTGCCTAGCATTTTGCTGGTCTGGAAAAAACCAAAAACGCATCGCAACCTTGACCGACCGTCGTTACCAACGTTGTTACAGATCCCCCTGAATGCTAAGAGATGGGGCAGTGGTCCACAGCAGCAGTCTGGGGCTGTATTTTGGGGCTGAAACGTGCGTGGTGATGGAAGGTGACTGCTGCAATCTCGCTGACAGCCCGAGTCTCACACGTTAATCCTCTCCTTAAAAGCACTGCCAAATAATATCCCAAGTGCGTGCGACACACACGACGGATTATTATCGTTGGTAAGCTGCAGTCAAGCGCACTGGAGACAATTGGAGCCACCTCGGACTAGCTAATGTGCAAGAAACACATGGTCCGGCATACGAAATGTGCAAGACACCGCGGTGGTGTGGCTGATTGGCGCCAACAGAGTCAGGTGATTGAAACATGCCCATCCAATGGTCGACTGTACGGTTGTACAATAGTCCCATGACCCTGTCAGATGGTTCTCACCACCCAGTGGTTACCCTCACACTGCCCCTCGCACTGCCGATCTCGAATCTTAACATTCCAGCTTGCAGGCACTCTCTTCGGGGCTCTGGCTCTGGACTGGCTCTGGAGGTGGCACGAGCCGCTTGGGGCGTCTAACTGGCCATTCAATTTAATTACCGCTTGCAGCTTGAAATCGTGTCATGTGACATTGCCGCGGTGTGAGCGATGACTCTCAGTGAGACGTGAATAATCCTGTGGCAAGGTGCAGTATCGTACTGGTACTGATGGGGGCATGAGAGGGTATATATAGACGGTTGGGAGTGTTTGGGAGCAGCTAGATTGACGTGTGAAGTTCCCCATCACAACATCAGCCATGTCACATCCCCAAAATACATATATATGTGCCCTCCTCGCGGCCACCAGCATCCCCTTCACCATCGTCCTCCTACTCACAACCCCTCACTATTTACCTCACCACCGTAGCTCCAAACCTTGTGCAGAAACCTTCAGGCTCAGCGCAGTGCGAAAAAAAAAAGCTTGGACGAAAAAAGGCAAAAGGGGAAAAAGGGAAAAAGGAAAAAAGGCAAAACGGCAAACCAAAACGAAACCACGGTTCAGGAGCTGCAATTTTCTTCATCCGGCATTTTCATTTCTCTACGCGACTTTTCACCAGCATCCAGTTGCACGACAACTTCCTCACCCCAGATACTCTTTTCTCATATCGAGAACACGCCGCCGAATTGTACTCCGTGCTTCTCCTGGACCACGACCCCGTACTTTCTCTCTCTCTCACACACAAGACTTTTACACTCACTTGAGCAGTTTCGACGCCGATTCGTTTCCCCTGTTTTCGACGACAGATACCGACTCTTCGACATACGCACAAGTACTTGCTACACCTCGACTGTGACACGACTGTGAACCCGTGAATCACCACTGCAAGTAGAGACTTGTTACCCCCTCCCCCCAGTCACTAAAGCCGATTAAATCGTACAATCGACTCCTGACGTGACCCGTCCTCTCTTGGAATACCCGCCTCCGACCACCGACCTTGCACGCGCTGTTCCCCCGAGTACAAAACCTCTGGTTATATCGCTCACCGGCCCCGTTGCACAGAAGCACATTTTCCGTTCCCCCCTACGTCTAACTTCACATCTCTCTCTCCCGACTTAGTGCTTGTCTCCCAACCACACACACATACAAGCAAGGCTATTTTTAAAACAACCTTGTAGCCGGAAGAAAATCTAAACACGCGAGATCCAACAGAAAGTCAAACCGCAAGGCCTCACAACGGACCATCACACCAGTTCAGATTGAAAAACAAAAATGGTCGCCGCAAAAATCGTCTTTTCCACAGCGCTGCTGGCGCTAGTGGCCGGCGCCGCCACCGATGCAACCTCCAACAACGTTGCAGACCTCATGCAGAAAATTGTCGAGAAGGACGCTGTCCCCACCATCACAGACCACAGAGAGCCCCCGTTCGTGGTTGTTGAGAAACGACAATTCCAGGGCAACCAGGGTAACCAGGGTAACCAGGGTAACCAGGGAAATCAGGGAAATCAGGGCAACCAGCAGAACAACGCCACCTCCTCCATCCCCACCAACTCGGGCTCTTCCCAGGCAGGAGGCTTTTCTTCTAGCTCATCCCCGGGCTTCTTTTCATCCACGGAGATTTCTTCCACCGAGTCTAGCTCTTTCGCCGAGTCCACTTCCTCCGAGTCCTCCTCCCGGTTTGTGCCCTCATCCACCTCGACCTCCTCGGAGAGCTCCAGCTCTGAGATCTCTACGTCGACCTCCTCTGAGAGCTCCTCTACCACCGAGTACTCTACCACCGAGTCCTCCACCACCGAGTCCTCCTCCACCACCGAGTCCTCAACCACTGAGAGCTCCACGTCTGCATTTGTCCCCGTGCCTACCACGGAGTCATCCTCTGAGGCTTCTTCCTCTGCTTCTCCCTCTCCTACCTCGACAGAGTCCTCGGCCTCGCCTTCTCCCTCCACCACAGAAGGCCCCTCGTCAGAGTCTTCCACTGAAGTCACTTCCGACGCCGTGGTGTCGTCCACCCTAATCGACGCGTCCGGCGGCCGAACCACCGTTATCATGACCCTCACAAACACAAAGGTGACCTACGTCGGGTCCACAACCACTCTGCCTGTGGAGACCCCCACCGCAAGCGGAGTCACTGGCAACAACAACAAGTCTACGGGCTCGACCTCCCACACGGGCCGAAACGTCGGTATCGGTGTGGGAGTGGGTGTTGGTGTACCTGTTGTGGCAGCCGTCATTGGAGGTCTGTGGTGGTGGCGACGAAAGCGAGGAGGAGACACCCCCATGTACGACAAGGACGATCTCATCAGCGGAGGCGAGGACTCCAACGTGTTTCGATCCAACATTGACCAGTACCATGCGCCTAACCGGGCCAACTCCGCAGCGAACTTTTAAGCATGAAGAGTTCCACTCGAGCGCTTCCTTCCTTTCTTTCGCCTGCATGACATTGCGACCCAGTCTGATTGATTCAGACTGTCGGTCGGCTTTGGACCACTTTGCACTTTGCACATAGCTAGCCCAGCACATTAAAATACCCGGCACGTTACCCTTGCTTAACTGACCTAGTCAGTGGCTGTATTCAGTTAATAGATGATTTATGATAGACTAGATAGTGAGAGAGGTGTAGCGATGGGGTACGACAGTAGGGAGTCGCTGTTGATTCCACAGCCGTATGACGATGGGCAGTATCACCACATTGCGAAACCCATTGTGTGTTCAGCGATAGCGAGGGAGATATCTCATGAGGTGAAGTTGGAGGGATACAACTAAAAGCCATGCTCGAGCAGAGAGACATCAGGGTGCGTTGTTTTGGGTCTGGGAATGGCCATGTGATGGCTCATTCACTCTACAGGGAAGTGGAGCATTCCAGAACACATTCTTCTTTGGCCGACAGTCGCAGAAAGACAGTATTTTAGACGGTAGTTGTATGAGGGCAATGGGAAGGAATGAGAAGGATGTTTTAGAGATTCTGGAGATTCACAGTTTGAAAAAGGCTCACCCTACAAGGGCATGGAGTGGTCTTAGGTGCTATAGAACTCCAGTACATAGTTGTAGTGCTTGAAAGCTGCTGAAGGGGACTTTTAGGGATAGGTTCTTCCTGATTCCAAAGTCTTGAAAGACATATTGTCTATGACTACGTACATATTCATCTAGCAATGATAGTATCTACACTCCTCATTCAGTTCCTGATGAGAGATTGTGGCCTGTTACCCTTCAAGGAGATTACTGGTAGGTCACTAGGAGGCCAATAACAGCTCATTAACTAACTCCAAGTGAGTCCGAGGCCTCTATGATTTTTCTTTCAATTGAAAACGCCATCTTAGTCGTTGTGTCTTACTGGCGATGGCTATATGGCCTTTTCCTACAGTACCAATATATCTCCCTTAACCGCTTTACTACTACTCACAAACTACTTGGGTTTGTTACCACAGTTTAGTTATGTTGTGGCCATTATATATTAAAATATTATAAAAATATAATTATGGTTATAAAATTAATATATCCGGCTTTGTTCCTATACTGCTCACTCAGAATAGAACTGTACAACTCCGCTCTGGTAAGTCATAGAAACATTCTGAAAAGTGCGTTTGGTTCCAAATCCGACAGGTAATTATATTATTCTCTTTTATCACCATGGAACTCTTTTTTCGTCCCTCTCCACCCTCTCAACCCTCATTACTAATCACCGTCTTCATGCACGTCCTGCAGAAAACTTTTTAGCTTTGAATCTTTTCTGCCGACCTTTTTATCCTCTACAACCACACAAAACCACACCATGACCAGCCTTGCTAACCGCAACATTGTCGGCATCGAGTCCGATCGAGTGACAAACGTGACTTCCACGGACTTCCCTGGCCACTGGCCTGGGGCCGACGACGCCTGGGACCTCGACAAGTTCGACAAGAACCTGCAGGTGAAGATCCATTCCCTGACCGACAATTACAGCAACTTTGACCTGATTGGCATCGACACGTCGCTGGCCAACGCCTTTCGACGAATCATGATCGCAGATATCCCCACCATTGCCGTCGAAGAGGTTTTCATCCACGCAAACACCTCCATTATCCAGGACGAGGTGCTGGCCCACCGGCTGGGTCTGGTGCCTCTGGTGATCAACCCCGAGCGAATCAACGCCCTGCCTCGAGGTCTGGACGCTTCCGAGATCGAGGACTACTACGACGACTCCAACACCTTTGTGCTGCGGCTCAATGTCACCTGTGAGCGACTGGCCGACGGCACCATGAAGAACGCCCACATCTACGCACGAGACATCACCTTTGATCCCATGGGCAACCAGTGCCAGTGGGTCAAGGACGAGGGGCTGGAGAACGTGTTCAAGGTCGCCAACCCCGACATTCTGATCGCCAAGCTGCGACCCAACCAGAGCATCAACCTGACCATGTTCTGCCATCTGGGTTTCGGACATGACCACGCAAAGTTTTCTCCCGTGGCCACCGCCTCCTACAGACTCATGCCCACCATCACCATCACCGGTGACATTACCGGTGACGAGGCCAAGAAGTTCCAAAAGTGTTTCCCCAAGGGCGTCATTGAGCTGGAGGGAGGCAAGCCCGTGGTGGCCGACGCCAGAAAGGACACAGTGTCGCGAGAAGTGCTGAGACACGAGGAGTTCAACGGCAAGGTCAAGCTCGGCCGACGACGAGACCATTTCATTTTCAACGTCGAGTCTTCCGGAGCTCTGGAGCCCGACGAGATCTTTCTCAAGAGCGTCATGGAGCTGCAGGCCAAGGCCCAGACGTTGAAGGCTGCTGTGAGTGGATACATGCAGCAGTAAGTGAGCTGGTCGAACCGCTAATGAGTAACACGCGCACCCAAGAGCGTAGCTGTTGATGGATCTTGTTGATGGTGTACATTGGGGGTACTTGCACGAAAAAGGCTGTCATTACACTGAGCTCTGTTCTACTACTAGTAGGATGGAAGGAGAAGGGAAAAGGATATATAGAGGAGGACTAATTGATAATGTAGCATATGTTGTATCCGTGGATTTGTATGTGGGACCGGAGCTGGAGATGGAGCGTAGGGTTCGGGAGTATAAGTGTGAATGAGAGTAGGATGCTGTTGTTCTTGTCGGTATAGTCGTTGTTCTTTATAACCGCCCCTCATCCGCTAGCTTCAGTATTAGTACAGATATAGCCCTGCCGACCACAGTTGTTGTAATACTTGGCCGCAAGTTTGGAGTCCGAAACCGAACATAAAAGGTCATTTATGAGTCGGAGGCGAATAAAACGATCTTTTACGAATCTACTGATGTTCTTCTCAACTCCATGTCTCCTACTGTAACTGCTCCACAAGTCTACACTGGCCAGAACATCCAGAACCAACAATTCTTCAACTATCGAAGAAAGAAAGAGATCTAAGTGATGAGAGACATCTATCGACTATCTAGTTGAACTCGGTAGACCAAACGGCCCTATATAGCCCTATATAGACTCCAATGGAGTAATGTATACGAGGTGTATAATGCCGAGGAACAGAACAATATATACTACATTTTGTACTCTGACGGTTAATAGGGTGTTTACTAAACGATAGACGACAGCGGAAATCTCTCTAGACCTTCTGCAATACTCCAGAGCGAATGTTGACTGTTTTGACCCTGACGTTTTTGTCCATACTCGTGCTCGGATAAATCCGCACTCGTTTATATGGCATCACTATTTCCGTCAAGAGAATCGCTGTAAGTAGACCGAATTGTCCACAGGGCCCTTCCAATTCCAACGGTTCTATCATCTTCACCCTCTGTCAAACAAAATATTTGAATATCAGTCACTGTACCTTTTCTGCGCATTTGTAACAACTTCTCCCTTCGCGATTATGTCCACTCCTCCACAATCCCACCGATAACCATCACCAATAGCCCTCTTTGGTCCAACCCCGCCTTCTAGCTCCTCTGGTCTTCTCTCTAGCGCGCCTTGGAGCTTTAGACCGCAGTTCCTGGACTAGAACCGGTCCACGGATGCCCCTAATGCCGCATTGGAGGAGTTCTATATGGGCAATATCTGACATTTATGAAGCGGAATAGACCCCATCCACTACGTGTAGGGCGAAGGAAACAACCACATCACTCTCTGGACAGCCACAGACCCCACTATCTGCTGTAGATGACCCTCCTACACCAAAACAAAACCGTTAGCATTAAATGTACACATTAAAATAAAAAGCCCGGGCTACTTGTACAGTAGCACCCGGGTATACTGGTGTTTTTTCGGACAAGGCGCTAAAAAACAAACGCGCCCGTCTCTGCTTTCTAACACCGCCTTGCCCCTCCAGAAACGCCAAAGTAGGTAACCCATATGAAATCCGTTTTTTTCATGACCTGTCCAGTCATATCATATCCATAGTTGCATCACTTTCGAGATTTTCCTCATGTCCTCCTTTTTTCCTCGGTCATCGTGAACGAATTACGCCCCCGCACGTGGTTCATCGCCTGAAAGCATACGCCTTGTGATACTGTGAGTAATCATCCAAAGGCTGGGTGCTCTGGCCCTGTGTCTGCTGTACCTGTGTGGTCTGTCCATACACATTCTGCTGCACAGTTTGCTGGACCGTCTGCTGCACATTCTGCACGCTCTGGATGCTCTGCTGTACCTGCTGCTCGTCGTAGTAGTACTCAGGGTAGTAGGGCTGAGCGTAAGGAGCAGGCATGGAGGTAGACAGGGATGACAGCGACGAGTTGACCGTGGCTGTCGACGTGGCTGTAGGGCCGCTCGGCTGGATGCAAGTGTCGCCAAAGTGGCCGTCGCGGTTTTCAAACACCACCTTGAACAGAATGCTGTTTTTGAACAGCATGTCTCTGACCTTGGCCCGCACGACCGGTGAGGTGATGTTTTTGCGGCGGATCTTGCTGAGTTCGGCCGCCACAAACTCCCACTTGGCCCGCTCGCCGTCGTCCAGCAGCGCCTTGAGACCCATGTTGTCCTCGGGGTCCCAGTAGACCGATCCGGAGCCTTGTTGGCCCATGAGCACCTGGTATCTGTTTCGGGCGGCCAGCGCGTTGTCGCAGTGTGCAGCCTCGCCAATTTCGTGCCATCCCTTGCCGGCCTTTTTCATGCTCAGAATGATTTTGTCCTGCTCGGACGAGTACTTGGACTTCTTTTTGGGACGGTCCGAGTTGGCCGACCGCATCACCTGCATGTTGGGGGGCACAGCGGCCGCCAGAGGGGGTAGCGATAAGGTGAGAGGGAGCACTAGGGGCGGAGTTTGGGAGCCATTGGCTGTCGGCGTGGGTGGTGGGCCAATGGGATTGCCTTCGGCATCTCGATTAACGTCCGTCACCAGCGCTATCGACGAATGCGCCTTGTAGTAGCGGGGGGTATCTGTGGCTGTCTGGGAGGTGTGGTCCAGCTGGTCTGCCGAGCGTTTGAGAGAGGGCCTGTCTGTGTTCATGACGGTGTGCATGTGGTCGTCGTGTTTGTGAAGTCGCGGTAGCGGCAGTCGGGGAGCCTCGTCGTAGTTGTACCCGTCATGGGGAGGGTAGTATGGGTGCATGGTTGGCTGTGTGTGCGAAAGCCGAGTAATGGCAGAGAAATGAACCGGGTCTAAGTTATTGCGATGAAAAAGATGCGGTATCTGGGTTGAGTCTGTCGAATGGCAGTTTGTGCACGGTCGTTAGTTGTCTGCGTCAAGTGTGTGTCTGAGCCTGGTGATGTATCTCTGTTGGGCAACTTGGTGAGTGCACTGGAGGTTGGTGTTTTTACTGGTACAGCGCTCACTGTAAGGTATCGTGTGTCTGTTAAGGTACGTTCTTCCGTCTGATATCGTATCTGGGTGTCTCGTACAGTGTATGTGAGTGTCAGGGGTGGCAGGTAGGTAAGATTGGTGTGGATGGGTTGTCAGAACGGTGGCTGATTGGTCGTTCTGGACAGTTGGTCGTTCTGGACAGTTGGTCGTCAGTGGTCGTCAGTGGTCGCCAGTGGAGGTTGGTTCTCGTCACAAAGCGCTGGCAACTAAACGTCTGGCAATTTCAACTCCAGTCTTGTGCCCACAGTCCACAGTCGTATGGTGAATGTTAGATCCCCTATTTCATGCACCTTGTCTGCTCCAAGGTTCGGTTTAGGGGGAGCGAGAGGCGGCGTGGAGAAGTGGTGTTGGCGGCGTGGAGAAGTGGTGCTGAGAAAGAAGGGAACAGATAATCCTACAGATCCAGACGTGGGTAGGGCAACGTGTGTCCAGAGACTGTCGCCAAAAAGATGCTCGGTCTGGAGACGAGCGCCGGTGGTATATATTATATGACTCGGTGATGGGTCGGAAGTTAACTTGACAGATTGGCTGGTGCAACTTTATTTGGGGGTGGTTTTGCGAGGGGCTTGGGGGCCGCGGGCGGCTACTAGGCGACACCGTTGGACTCGTCTCGGCGCGCAGAGTGTCGTCGTCTTTTCCATTTTCCAATCGCGCGCCGGGATCTCGCACTGGCCGCCATCTTAGCTCTGTCTCGTCCTAGCTCTGTCTCGTCCTTGGCCCCAATCCGCTCCTCCAAAAAAACAAAACAAGGTATGTATGGCACTGGCCAGACAATAAGGGGGTGAAATTACAATGTGACGTGGAAACCCGTGGAACAAAAGCGTCCAGTCAGTCACACAAGGGTGCCAGGTTTAGACAGGTTGTGCGATGGGGTGAGCAGTCATAGGTGGGAAAGACGACATATATTTGCGGTTATACGGTGGTCCAAAAATGATGATCTCGAGACTTTTTTCACCACCTTTTTCACCATCTTTTTCACCATCTTCTCACTTTATTCTTCTCTCTTCCTCCTCCTCCTCAAGTCGCACTACCATCTCCTTGTTAGTACCCTTTGTATGATAGGTATTGGAAGACAGGTACATACTGTACATTGTACAGTCGATACGAGACCGTAATTACCGTGCTGAACCGTGCGGAGCCGCGGCTGCTATGATTATCCCTGCCTCACAAATGCCTGCCCCTGTACACAGTGCAGGTACGCCATACGAGGGGGATGAGTGGGAGTGGGAGTGGGAGTGGGAGTGGGAGTGGAGATGGGAGTACAAGCATGAGTAGTGATTGTCGTTTTGGTGGTGACCTGGGGTGTAGTGATTACATTCGGCGGCTATCTTCTACCCCTTCACTCCTCAACCAGCCAAGAATCTGGCCCACATTTTCCCAAATTTCCGAATTCATGTTGGCATGAAAACGGTTATTACCGACACGGAGCACGTGACATCCCAAATGCCTTGTGGACGGCGAAGAGAGATCTCCAGTTGATGTTGTGAAATCACGTTGGCACGAATTTTTTTTTTTTTTTTTTTTTTTTTGAGTTGAGTTGAGTTGAGTTGAGTTGAGCTCGTCGACTCACGGTTCTGAGGTGGTTAACCCATCGGACTGACTCGCTACACGAAAAAACACCACACAGTTGGATTTGCGCTTCGTCCACGAATTCAATAATCTTTCTTGTTTCCTTCTACGGTCATTTTTCACCGTTTTATCACCATCTATCACCTATCACCACCTATGATAACTCCACTAACCGATATTATCACCAACCGTCGTATATTACTCCTCTTATCAACACCAACCACCACCGGAAAATACCACGTATGAACCGCACATAGCCGTTTTTGTGGTTTTTGTGGTTTTTGTGGTTTTGTGGGCCGGTAATTACTGTTCCGCCTGGTGAAACAGATAATTTCCCCCTATTCGGCCTCGGTCTCTGCACAGAAGTAATAACCCGGTTTGCTGGCCGATATTTCTTCCACGGAAATTGGAAGAAATATCGGCCAGCAAACTGATAATAAAACACTGGGGAACCCCGGACAGCGATACATGTCACTTATGGCGTTTTTTTCCGTCTACAGAGCTGAGCAGAATTGGGGACACGGAGTTGCACACCACATTCACACCCTGGCAACATGGCTCCCCGAAGTGCCAGACGAAGAGGGGACAAATGGGCTGATAATATTTGATGGTAGGGGTAACTCGCTGAGTTCACCACAAGGCGCAAAAGGGACGTTTGCGTAGAGGTGCCAAACGTAAAAGAATGAACCAAGGGCGGAGCACGGTTCTAGGGGCGCTGATTTGGCGATTTGGCGCAACCGGCTGCTTTTCGAGATGCTGGTGTTCTGAGACGACATGCTAGTGTTCTGAGACGAGATGCTAGTCTCCTGAGACGAGATGCTGGTGTTCCGAGACTACTATTTCACAAGCTGTATTCGACGATACTCACTTGGAGTCACATGGTTCTTCAAGGACCAAACGTAAGCATCTTGACCACCAACTGTGGGGAAAAAACAAACAATGACATAATAATGCCCATCAGATCCATTAATTGCTTTGATAGGGCAATCTCCTTACAAAGACGTTATTAATGGTTGATGAGGGGAATACCATAGATTGGTGCAAGAGAGAACACATTAGACCTGCGACTTTTGCATGGGTGTTTCGAGATGGTTCACTGGGTTTCTCTTGGTCTTGTTTCTAGATGTTTCACTTGTTTCACCTGTTCATCTCCGTCTTGTAGCTAGACTTTTCACTTGTTTATCTTCGTCTTGGTCTTACACTGGTCCTAGACCCCCCCCCACTCTTTGACCGTGCTTCTCTGACGGAGATCTAGGAAGAACGAAGAGGAATGTCAATCACGATTCTACTGTATTGCTCCAACCGGCTTACTCTTGCTACTCTCGTTCCGATCTCGTTACTGCCCCTTCACATGTCTGTCTGATCACCGCTCTCCGTTGTCAGCATCTGGATTGGTACGACCAGCTCTACCACTTGTCGGGCAAGATTGGTTATCGACCGGACGACCAGAACTCAGCAGCCGAGGCGCTCAGTCGAGTCCGTGCCTCTGTGACCCCGAAGTGCTCTTTTCTGTCTGGGTGACGACTCTTTCCGCAAAACCGCATGCTGGCTGGTGACAGCCGGAGTCATCCAAAACTGGTACCAGGATTCGTTGAACTACTAGCGTCCGTTACGAGAGGAATCCGGTTCATCGGAACATGTGTTCCGTAAGTCGTTGAGTAGAAAAAAGGGTCTGGGTAGATCCAAGGGGGTTCTTTTCTGTTGGGATCGGAGCGGAGCGGAGGGTGGTCTCAGACGGATTTGATACGATGACTGGACAATGGGGATATTTAGACACATGTGCGCACAACTGTCTTTACCGGTTGTCTCTAGTATCACTGTTGAAGTTCTTGTGGCTTCTGTTGGGTGGACTATGTGGATATGAAGACCCTCCGGTGCCAGACACAAGTGGGAGCTCCTCCAGACACTGTCGGTGGTAGATGGCGATGTTTTGGCAACAGCAGCGTGGTCTGTGCTCAACATATCGCTTTGGTAAGTCTGACGGACAAGTTTGGGCGAACCTCTGACATGTGTCCGGGGTGTGCGATACTTGGGGAGGAGGGTTGGCCTAATTGAGTGAGCTTACCAGACCAGACCTGGCTGACCAGGAATATTTGGCTGACCTCACTGGACCGGTTGACCTAATAAGGCTGATATGATATTGCCGTGACGAGATGGGCACAAGATTCTGAGCTCTGCAGGGCTAGAACTCGAGGGCTAGATGGAGAAGAGTTGGCTTGTGTCCTTCTTCTGGCTCAACTGAAAAGAGATGGTATCGCAAGTTGCAAGAAGAAGGAGATAACATGATAGAGACAGCCAAACCACCTCAACAGACTATCGGCGCTAGAATGTCATCTATAGCTAGGGACATGACACCCTGACCCGATACTCCATCGTTTGTGAGGTAGAGAACTACAGCACAAGTAAGAGCTTTGGTTACGCTGCACTGTATCATGTCTCTAGGAGTATGAGATACGTGGAAGAAGTCAATAAGACTTTTAGACCAGTTCAGAAGCGGCACCTCTACCGTGACTATCATCGACTCAATCTCTGTTTGACAGTCTCATTGACGTAGTGCTTTCTCGAGGCGACAAGTAGTGGTTGTCGTTGCTGTTTCTGTCGTCGTCTTCTTTCATCTCTTCATTTTTAATCTCTCATCTTTTGCAATCCAAGTATTGTCCGTCTAAATCTAACATCCATGTTGACGAAATCAGTCATATCTGTTTTTTTGCATATGAAAAGATGTGGATATTCCTCAATACTTGTTAAACACTCGTGTCGATATAATCCATTTCTATACTCGCATCTTCTCTACCATTGCCGCATACACAAATTGTCAACAAATCTCCCCAGAGATATCGGACAATTTCAAGTGCAGCAGATTTGGGCTGACTAGAGCAACCAGAAAGGATATTTAATGGTGAAGAAAGAAACTAGACCACCTTCTCGGTTCATAGAACTCTTTCTCCTCTCCAAGACTTTGCAATAGTCCAACCAGACTGTTCTCTGTCTTCTCGAGTTGTCTCACCGCATCACCTAGAATAGCTAGAATGAGTGACACGAGAATTTGAGCTCTGGATACATGTGTTATTGACACAACCAGACTGCTCAGAATCATCTCGACCACTCTTTACTGTCTTTTGGTAACAAACCCTTACTAACCCTGACTTATCTTGGGTCCAACAGAGATACCCAGTTCG